TGTTGCAGGTTGGTCCATTCTTCAGATCATAAACCCATCTCGTTTTGATTTGTTTTGTGTGTGTTAATTTCGCTATATGGTGTTATATTTGGGATAATCAAAACATATTGTTAACTAAAATTGGGAGAAATGCTATTTATTTGCATTTATTTGTGTATTGGGGATATCATATCTCACATTATCTATATATTTCATGTTCAAGTTTGACCCATATCCACATGACTGCACTCACTCCCGCAGAGCAGGTCCTGCGGTTTCGCCGGCACACCGGGTCGACGAGGCAAGGAGGCAACAGTTCTTCGGACAGAGCGCTGCAACAAACTTGACACAGATTTGTTTCAATGATTTTGGATGATTTGGGGTACCCCCATGTATTTAACCTGCATAAATATGGCTCAAACAAATGCCCCATGAACCAGCGAGGTGTTCACCAACACCTTGGCTGACCAAGGCAACCAGCACAGAATCCAACCAGCCATATGTTCATTGCTTAAATTGGGGATTATTTATAGTGCGTTACTAACACACATTACATATAGTTATAATATATATATATGTGTATATATATATAATATTAAAATATAGTGAACGGAGAATATGCAACTCGCTATTTTAGCAGCGGTGTTCTTGAGCCAAAGGTTGGCGTAGCAACTAGTGAGAACCCTATATCCCGTCACCCCTCCTGTACAGAGGCTGGGATTTTCCTAAGCTGATGTACACTCATTCCAAAGCCTTTGCAGCTTCGGCTCTACCATGAGAGTACTCGAACCCCATGCTTTGCATGTGTCTTTCCATCTCATTCGCAGGTAAACCTTTGGTGCACAAATCAGCTACGTTCTGCTTTGTCGGGATCTTCACCAGTTCGAATTCATGTAGTGCAAGCTTTTCTTGCACCCACAGAAAGCGAGTTTGAACATGCCGTGAGCGGCCTAAGCCCTGACGGTTACATGTTCCCAGCGCAGCGGATGAATCTGTGTGCACTTTAAGTTTTGGTTGTAGGCCCCATCCTCGCAAGATCTCCTGTAGCGACATTCCGATGGAAACTCCTCGAACGATCGAGTAGTATTCCGCTTCACCGGAACTCAAGCTGATCGTGCTCTGAAGAGTGCTCGAGGCCTTCACCGTGTGGCGGCCAAAGGTTGCCACAAGTCCACTTGTTGAGCGCCTTGTAAGAAGACACCCAGCGAAGTCGGAGTCCACGTACATGTGGATCGTGTCAGCAAACTTCTGGCGACCAAACTTCAAAAGTACACGTGGTTTCCCTTTCAGAAATCTCACCAAGCGTTTCAGATCCTGAAAGTCAGATTCTTTGGGCTCATGCATTCTTCTTGATAGGCATTTCACTGCCTCCGCGATGTCAGGTCTGTCCTGTGCCACATACGACGCTCTCATCACCAGAGACCGGAAGAAACTTACACGGTCCGGTGTGATGGTCGGGGTGGTCAACTTCAAGTTGGCCTCCGTGGCTGACATTTTCTCAGATGGTGTCTTGACTGGCTTACAGTTTTCCATTTCTAGATCTCGTACCATCTGGTCAACGTGGCGGGGATCCGCCTCATAGGATACAGAGCCTTCCTGCTCGTTGTAGGTCACGATTCGATTGAGCACTGCGAACTGCTGATGCCGTTCTCCAGGACCGATCGATCCATCGACCCGCAGATCATATTTGGACCTCAAGGTGTCCTCAAGGTATTTCTGTCCAGCATCATCAGCAAGCACCACGAAGTCATCTCCGTGTACAAGAACTCGAATACCACCGTAACCTTCATGGTAAAAGCAGGATGGCCAAGCTTGATTCTTGGCAAAACCAGCTCGGATGAGAAGTTCTGTATATGATCTTTGCCAGATCGCTGATGCATCGCGTGTTCCATACATGCTCTTAACGAGCTTGCCACAAAACCCTTCTTGTCGATCTCCTTCAGGTAACTGCACGAAGATATCACGCTCTGCCTCTCCATAGAAGTGAGCGCGTGATATGTCAAGAAGACGAACTTTCAGTGCATTGCCAGACTTGGATCGTCTCAAAGTCACCATAAGCGATAGAAGCAATTTCAGCGATTCCAAAGGCGGCATCGAACTGAAGGACGCATAGTCCGGAATGAAGTCAGCATTGCTGGCCCGTTTGATCTCTCTACAGACCAGACGTGACCTGTAGTTGGGGTGTGTTGCATCCCCTTTGTTTCTGTCAATCCATTTCATGGTGATGACCGGTTTTCCAGACTGTTGGGCTTCTGTGAGTGGAACTTTGATATAGATACCCTGTTTGTGTACCCATGCTAGTTCTTCTTGTCGAGCAGCTCTGACCTTGTCAACATCCAAGACAGCACCGGAGTGTGCGTCAAGCACTGGCTCCACGATGGTGTCATCGCTGTCGGGCAGCTGCTTCCAAAACTCCTCCTCTTCATTGATCACAGGTCCAGCATCGGGTACTGGGCCATGTGAAAGTGAGTGTAGTTCTCCATCACATTCCAGTTGGCGCCTAATGGCCTTGAGAATTGCGTGGACAAGCTTTGGTGGGTATTTCTGGGCAGCTCGGGCTCGTCCATCAACAAGATGTACATGGCGGTGCCAAACTTTGCCTTCTTTGTTTGAACAGCACCCTTGTAGGGTCTGTGCCAGGATTGGAGAGTTCGTGAGCCAGGTAGTTTCTTTCTTCACTGACCCTTCACCTTGGCCATCGGCGGCCTTCATTCCCCAACGGCACATTGGTCCAGTGACCTCATACACCCGTTCATCTGCCCTCAGTCTCTTCACAGCTCTCTCTTCCCACGAAGCGGCCCCTTTAGGGTGCTCATGGTAGAAGTACCTTCCAGCATTCATTTGATGCTCATACGCTGAAACTGCCGTGCGCAGATGTTTGCGACCATCTTTTAGTCTCTGCGCTCGAACTTCAGGTGAAACATTGCCCTTCGCATCCACAATGTTTTGCAGCTTCGAGAATGGCCCACAGGGAGGTGAGCCGCCGAGGAACTCTGGTTTCTCATAGTCAAGCAGTTGAAACAGATCACGAATGTGTTCATCTTTACTCAAGTCCCAGTGAGTTCCATCACCACGCTTTGTCTCCAAGTCAATCGAGAAGCCAGGTGCTAGCCCGACCACTTGGGCTTGTGCAGCCACACGCGGTGGAGAGAAGATCTCAGCAACCTTCCCTTTTGCGATCACATCTTTGAGCAAGGAACACAGATGTAGCATCTCCTGGTTTGTCTCAGGACTTGTTGGTGCAGCGGCAGCACCTTCCGGAACACCAGATGAAGCATCCGGTGCCGGTGGTCCGGCTGACCCTGAAGCCTGAGCTGAAGATTCATTGTAAAGATCTTCAACGTCGACTTGTGAACTCCTTTTCTCTCCTCGGGATTGTTCTTGTTTCTGCCTCTTTGGGCTTCCTTCTCTTTCTTGTTCTCTCTGTCTGAGTTCTCCACGAAAATCGGTGTCGACCAGTGGTTCACCAACAGCCTCACTTGCATCCATTTCCGCATCCAAAGGAACACGGTCTTGCAAGACTGGTTGTTCAACTTCCCCTCCTGGGACAACTGGTGGTGCAGCTTCACCACCTTCTGCCCCACCACCCTCAGGCGGTGCAGCCGCGCCTCTTGGGCGCCTGCCTTGTGCAACTCTCTCTCTCGCTCTTTTGATCCTTTCTTGACCTTCTGGAGTCTTGTCAAGTTCGATCTGGATTCTTTGTCTGCACTCAGCATTGTGAGCTCGGCTTGGCATCTCAAGTATTGCTGCTTCACATCCAGGACACAAAGGTGTGTGCCCATGCTTTTCCAAGTCATTCTTGGTGACATAGAGGTTCCTTGGGATCACTTCTTGCACTGCAGGCCTTTCACGAGGCGCTGCAACATCGGGAAGGGCGATCCTCAGTCCACCATGTTCTCGTTCTTGCAACCTCCAAGGAAGGCCACGTAGCGAGTCAAACTGATCATGTTTGAACTGATCGTCAGGTGGGCGTCGATGGATCGAGTTCCCCTTCATGATTCCACGTTCCGTCATGACAAAGACGTCTGAATTTCTGTTTCCAGTTCCAACGTACATCCCAATGGATACCCTTGGAGCAAGGTCATTTCTCTTGCCCCCACGATTGGCCCTCGGCCTATACAGGATGCTTTCACCGAACCTCACAAGCGGAATCCGCCATTTTCGTCCATAGGTCCGCTCAAAAGCGGTCTTTCCATCAGTACCTACTCGGTATCTCGTCAAGAGAAAGGCAGCATGCCGCGGGAGCCAAACCAAAAGTGGATGGCCCGGATCTACCTTCCTTTCCAGCTTGAACTCCAGGTCGCTGAGGAGAGCACGACATTGTCGTTTTATCTCTCGCACTCACACTTCGATAAACCCATTGGCTTGATGGTCTTCTACTGGGGTTTCCACCAAGTGCACTTCGATGTGGGTCTTTATCTCCTTAACCTTCTGTTTAAGGGATACCAAGGAGGGTTCACCGTCAGACTTAAGGATTACCTTATTAAAACCAGCATCATCCAAAACTCCCCCAAGCCACGCGATTGCGAACGCATCCGCCCCTTTTCCCGGGAGAACGCTCGCCCAAAATCTCTTGGTCTTGTGGCACTTCGCCACAATGCTCGGAAGGGTCGCCTCATCCGCAACCTGGTCCTGGTTCATATAGAAGTAGTCCAGGCTCAGCGTGGGCAACTGCGTTTCTGGCTCATCAAGTTCCTTAGGCACATGGCGATCAGCAGTCACACGTGCCCTTTTGCAGTGCAAGCACCAGCTCCGATGGACAACATGTCCAGTGCTTTCATGTTCGTCAACTTCAGCTTGGGATGGTTGATGTGGTTCTTTCTTCACAATGGCTTTCCTCTGTTCTTCACCGATTTCCAAATCAACTTCATCTTCAAAGGCATCTGCTCCGGCTGAAGCAGCTGGAACATCGCCTGAGGACCCTGCTCCGGCCGAAGCGGCTGAAACATCGCCTCCATCTTCCATGGCATCGGCTCCGGCTGAAACAGCTGGATCCTCGCCAACAGCGTTGATTTGTGGTCTTACTCCTCTTGAGGATGCCCCTGAAAAGGTGACACCCAATAGTCCAACACATAGATGCCTCGGCGATTGTGCACAATGGGCATTGAATCGCCATAATCTCGGATCAGATCTTTCATGGCCTTCGAATAGGCCCGTCCCGCAGGAGTGTTTCTTGGGATCAATCTCCCCGAAGATGGTCCAAGGGCGATGTGGTAGTTCTTGGCGATCTCGGAACCTGAAAGAAGTGGCCGATGCACATCTGCAACTCGGCAATCGATTGGGATCTTGTTGCCAGATTCGTCGTATCCCACCAGCTTCACACTTCCCTGATCTTCGATGGGTTCCGCATTGGCTGCCTTGTAGCTTGCTCCATTGGACTCGCTCCTCGGGTAGTCCTTGGCGAAGTCAAGTGGTACTGCAGTGATGGCAGCACCGGTGTCGATGTTCAACTCTGCTCGTTCCCATTTTCGCCAGTCGTCAGAGGCCCCCAAGCTGTAGACTGCAGCAGGAGCCGATCCAGCTCCACCATCGGGGTCTCCTCTGCCTGGTCGGTCTCGAGGCTCATCAGGCTCTTCGATGTAGACCTCTTCCATTTCATCATCATCTTCATCTGCGTTCACTTCAGTGTTTTCCTTCAGAACCAAGGCTGGTCGGTTCTTCCTCGCCATCTTGCGCGCCACATTGCGGTTCCGATTCTTCTTCACCCTGTACCCAACGCTTCGAACACGCTTGGTCATGGGTTTCTTCTTGGGATCCTTCCGCAGCAACTTGGCCTCGTCGTCCGGGAACTGCCTCAAAGTTTTCCGCTCTTCCATTGAAAACTCTATCACTGTGCTCTGACCAGCTTTGCCCACAACCACCGTCTCGATGCCCGCATCCAAGTTGTCTTCATCCTCGATTCTCACTATGCCTTCTGGATTTTCTGGGTTGTCAAAGCGTTCATGCCATTCTTTGTCAAGTCGAATCCTTTCAGCCGCACGTGCCTTGACTCCTCCTCGTCGGTGGACGATTGCACGTCTTCTCAAACGTTCATTTCTCCAGGCCACATTGTGTGCAACACCTTTGGCAATCTCGGCATGGTATCTCGAGTCGTGGAAAGAAGGATCGCTGATGTTCTGCTTTGTGATGTGCGGTGCCTTGACAGATCTAGTCCTCAAAGCCGCTAACATCGCATCTGCCTGGCCATCTCCTGAACCAGGATCTTCTTCTTGGACTTTGCGGATTTGTGAACTCAGCGCAGCCTTCAGCATCTGGACAAGTCGAGAACCTGAAGTCGAAGCTGCCGATGATGCCTTGACAGGTGGTGGTGGCTTCACCTGAGAGCTTTGCCATCCCGGTGGTGGACATGGCGGAGTCTTGGGTGAAGCTACTTGGCTTTGCCATCCTGGTGGTGGTCCTGGTGGAGTCTTGGGCGAGGCTATCGGCTGTTGTGGAGGTGATGCAGGCCATGCTATAGGTGTCGGTGGTGTCTTTGGCAAAGGTGTAGAGCTACGAAGAAGTTCTTCTGGAGTCTGTGGCCCATGCCTCAACCTTCTCCTTGGTGGTGGTGTCATCGAAGTCATTCGAAAGCGTCGGAGTGCTGACTCCGGAGTGACTGGCCCTGATCTGCTTGCTTTGCCTCTCTTTGGTGTTGAGCTCTTTGGACTTCTGCCCCTCTTGGGTCTTCCCTGTGGCGTTCGAGGTGCCTTGGAAGACGCGGACTTGGATGTAGTGGTCTCGTGCTCGGTGACCTCCTCCAGTCGAAGCGACCGAAGGGGTCTTGAGCCACTCGATCCACTCGGTCCATCATAGTCGGGGTCGTCCCACTCTTCAGGCCATGACGCACGTGGGTGAGGCAAAGAAAACCACCTTCTGCGACTTGTCGAGGCTTCCGACTCCTCGGACTCGGGATCGACCTGGAAACTTTCGTCGTCATCCTCGTCATGTGGTGGCCCATCAACGCCATAGAGCGTTAAACCATTTGCTGCTTGTTGACCATCGTCGCCATCAGCTGCGTCCCAGTCTTCTGCTTCTGGTTCACCTTGTTCGACATTGTTCACAGATTTGCCTCCTTTGGGCTTCTGCTTGTGCTTTCCGGGGCTGCCTTTGCCCTTGCCCTTGTCCTTATTCTGATTGCTGTTGCCTTTGCCACCCGTCCCCTTATGTTTGGGGCCTCCAGGTGCCCAGCAATCTGCCCGCAGATGTCCTGGGCGTCCGCAGTTGTGACATGTTCTCTTCTCAGCTGTTGCATTTCCCTTTCCAGGTTTTCCTCCAGCTCCCTTCTTGCCCTTACCTTTTCCCTTCGCATCTTTTCCAAAGCTTCCGACATCCATAGGATCGTCCCCACGGCCATGTGCGTCGTAGGGCTGGCTATTCACCACCTTGATCTTGTTGCCGGTGGCATGTTCCACATAGGACTGGATCTCGGACAGCATGGACTCGAACGTCTTGAAGCGATCTCGATTGAGAACGAGATGACGCTCGAGCTCTGCCGGCACCAATCGTTCAATCACGTTGATCTTGATGTCTTCTGCCAACATCGTTCGGTTGCCAGATGCGTCTTTGCGACGTTCATAAAGTCTGATGCTGTCAAGAAGCTTCTCCAGGTTGGACGGCAAATCTTCCATCTTGGATCGAGCCGGTGACAAGATTGCATTGAGGAGAGCGCGTTTGCGACCACCAGTGGATGGGTCGTACCTCCGCGTGAGCTTTCTCCAGCTTTCGATGCCGCATTCCCCGGTGTTCAGCACGATGTCAAAGGGCTCACGCTCTGTCAGCATTAGCAGCGCGTCCCAAAGCTCGCGTCTCAATTCACTGATGTTCGACACCTGGTCAATGGCATCTGCTTGACTCCCAAAAGCCTTGTCGATGTCATCTGCAGTGATTGCATGATCGCAATCTTCGGCCCAAACCAGAATCTCACGAAGGTCTTTGCGAACACTTGCAAGATAGGAGGACGTCTTGATTTTCCATGACAAGAATCTTTCGGCTGTCCCATCAAACTTGTCGGGCTTGCCAAGGCCCTTGTTGTCGACCAACCGGACTTGTTCTTTCGATCTAAGGGCGTCCACAAGCTCCTTTTGTGACTGCACCAACTGTGCCAGTGCACTGCCAGGTCCAGCTGAAGCAGCCGAACCCGCACCAAAAGAAGCGACCTGTGCTGTCAGTTCAGCTTCTCGGCCTCTTAGTCGATTGACCTCGGTCTGTAGTTCCTGGAGCGACTGGAGGACCTGTGCCGCTTGTTGTTGGTCCATTGCTAAGACCCTGGAGCGTATCGCTCCGCTACCATGAACGGAGAATATGCAACTCGCTATTTTAGCAGCGGTGTTCTTGAGCCAAAGGTTGGCGTAGCAACTAGTGAGAACCCTATATCCCGTCATATAGTTAAAATATTATATAATTTCATACTAATATAAATAAATATATATATATATAATTATATATATATATATATATCATCCATGTATGATCTGAAATAGCAGTTATACCCCCTATGAACCTCCAATGCCGAGATTTTCTCACCCTTCTGATCTGCAAACGTCATCCGAGTCCTGGTCCCCCCGGCGACTTCTTTCTTTGCGCAGTGAAACCAAACCGGAACAACGACCCTGATCCACGGAGAGTTGATGCAGGGGCCCCAAACACAAAATTGCTGGAAACACCATGAAACAGCACTTGGTGATATCCTCCCATGATTCTCCCTGAATCGTTGTTGCTATTTTTTGGGGATGCAGAATTGAGCCTTTTTGCATCTCCTTTACCGAGGCCACTTTGGCCCAGGGATCACTGTGGCAGCACCGTGACTATCGTTACTTCGCTTTTCGCGGCGATCCTTTCGGCGACTCCACGGCTGTTGGCAGCAGTTGGTTCACCTCAGCTGCAGCTGGCACGCCTCCGGTAGTTGAAGATAGCTATCAGCCATGGAAAATGGTCCATTTATAGATGATCTACAACTAAAAATGGTGTTTTTCATATATAGCTATGTCAAACTACTAGAGGGTACTGTAGCAAATGACCCTGCAAGAACTTGGTCCAAGATGTTTCCAAATCACCGACCTCCGCTGTTACTGATACTGGGCTTTGGGCGGTTTTGCTATGTATATTTTTTTCTGCTGGTTTGGTTGGCTATGGCAATGTCCCATTCAAAATCGAGCTGTTTGTTCCACCTCAAAAAAAAAACATTAGTCAGGTGAAACCATCATCCCAGGTATGGCCAGCAAGGCTTGCGGGTTGACCTTCGCATTTTCGCCAACACGGCCAATTTTACCCTGAATTAACTTCTGAGCTGGTTGAGCTGGTTGGGTTAAACTGGTTAAACAACCAAAAACCTGCAATTTTTGGTGAAAAATGCTGCCCATCCAGCTGGTTTCTGGTTATCTCCATGGTTTAGATCCTCATCCCCGTGTGTCACCAGGTTCCCCTAGCACCAACACGCCGCTAGGTCCGCTAGGTGACCAAATGCCGTGCCGGCGAATCCTCCAAACCACGAGTCCTTAGTGGAGCCATAGGTGTTACCTGCCCACCCAACAAACATGCGGTATTTAACAATGAAAAATCGTAATTCAAGGAGCAAGAGCAGGATTTAACCCTTAACCACCAAGAATGTGGAGATTTTATTGTGATTCCCCACCTGCCAGGTGAGGGTCTCTAGACTCTAGATTTTAACTTAAAGGTGGAAGTCCTCCTCCTTTTTTTCCTCTTCTTCCCCTTTCTTCCTCCCCTTGGTTTCCCCCGCTAAGCCAGCTCTGACTGTGGGCATGAACGGATCCGAGCCATATAGCGAGCTCCGGATGCAATGGGCCACAGGTGGGGATCACTCGAAGAAAGTATACAATTTATCTCAAACATGGGCCGAAAATTGGATTGTGGATCTCCTGAAAGGGTCATCCCATAAAAGTTGCTGAGACTGATCAACCCTCACTAGCTTGGCCCAAGCCCGGCTTTCAGCTTTAATAGCATATATTCTGTTCTATCTAATTATCGGTCCATATACATATGTATATATATATATATATATGTGTGTGTGTGTGTGTAGTTCTATATACATATGTACGGTAACGACATTTAAATATGTGGAGGGCGGGCCAGACCGCGAGGCGGCGGAGGTAGTATGAAATACCAGTTCGTATATTCAAATGTAGCTGCAGTAGGTTTAAATGAATTGGATTCCGTATGTTTAAATGGCTGGGCGGGCCAAGGAAAACCTTCCCGGAGGTAGTCTAAAATACCTGTTCGTATATTTAAAAATCCGTATATTTAAATGTAGTTACCGTATATATACATACCTATTATATATATAGTTATATATACATATATATATATACAATACATATATATATATATATACACATATACCTATTATACATCTACATAACTAGTACGTCCGAATTTCTTAAAAAAATGGCTTCTCCCATGGGGATTTCGGCCTTTTGGGCAGCTTACGCCGGGTGGCTTTTCGAGCTCATGCGTCAAGGACGGCAAGTTGTTTAGCTCCGTGTCGGTGACGTCCAGCTTTTGAAGCGCTGCGTTGAGACCTGGAAACCGTCAGCGGACGAACTCTGAAGTTCTGAAGGGAACCAGGGGAGAATCTGACCGGAAATCAATCTATTAAGTATATATCAACAGTATCTATTTAACTATTAACTATTAACTATTAACTATTAACTATTAACTACTAATGCTATTTATATATATATATCAACAGTAACTATTCACTATTGATATCAACTATTGAACTATTAGAATTACTGACGCACATTGATATTTACTATTGAACTCAACTATCAACTACTCTTAACTATTACTGTTACTATATCATGATATTAATAGTACTAATATGATAACAGTACTATACGGATAATAAGAGTACTTTAGTGATAGTAATAGTACTAGTATCATGGTTATTAGTAATTATTTTCACTATGATTGCTCTACTCACTACTATTTGCATTATTATGAGTAAACAAAATATTGCTATTATCCTCCTTGTTTTTCCGTTTCTCGGCATTTTTGCAAGTGTTACAGCATTAGTTAAAAGCTAAAAATGTTTATGGAGATTTATAGTAGGAACAACACCACTACTGGTTTGACTGCTATTGATGTTGATCTGAGCAAGATTGCGAACATTGTTGTTATTAAAAACATGTAACTAGCATAGGTAATTTCTTTTGTAGTCGAAGTGATGCTATCACTATTCGTAATTACTAGTACAGTATGTGTTTCATTGCTGTTGTAAACAGCCAGCATTATTTTATCATCATCAGTATTGTTGTCATGTTATATATATCATTTTATATCGCCAAATATTCACATGTATCATGAAATATTATGCTCATTCTCAGTATATCATGATCGTTACCCAACCTGGTTATTTAACATAACCATGGAAAATCATCACTTTAAATAGCTACATCATCTATAAATGGGTCATTTTCCATAGCTAACACATAACCAGGGGCTACATCTACCGTGCGATTCGGCCCAGGGGCGGTTCTCCAAGCGGAACTCCATCGCCCGCATGTTCTCCAGCACCTTGGGGCGGCATCACCGTGGCGGATCGATCCCCAAGGTGGGAGCTTCATTGGGTTTACCATAATATGGGTACCCTCTGGTGAACATACAAAAAGCAATGGAAAATGGCTATTTATAGTGGATTTTCCCATTAAGAATGGTGATTTTCCATTGCTATGTTAGTTCAGTAAATGATAATATCAATGGCCATTTCAGGAACCGATTTATTGGAGGTATCTAGCATATATAAGGCCATAATGTAAGGGAATATTCCCCCAAAAAAAAAGGCCTTATATGGTACAGTACCTCCATTTTAGGATCCTGGAATTCCCATTGAGAATATTTCACTAACCTGAAATGAGATAAATAAGGCTATTTGGGGATGATTGAATCCTAAGCATGATTCCTAGTGAGGGAGAACAGTGAGGTCGTTATAATCTACCCATATATATATATATATCAAATGTTGGTTACCTTTGTTGCTACATAGTATGGGTGTCTTTAAAAAAAATCTATAGTCATCTTTCTAGTCATCTATATATATATATTTGAAGCTAACTATGTCTTTGCCACGGTGCAGCATGTCTACAAAAATGTCCATGCGGTCCATGCCCCACTTCCCCGTCCCTGGCGCTTTGAAAATGGATCTCTCTCTGGCTGTTGCAGATTCGTCCTGGACTCAACTGGAGACGCTTGGACCGTTTGGATCCATTTTGCCACCAAACAAAAAGGATCGGAATTGATATGAAATTACATAAAACTAATATAAAACTAATATAAAACTAATATAAAACTGATATTTAGAAATGTTGGATGGGTAAAATTTGAGAATCAATTGATGGCTCAATTCTAGGTTCGATCGGATCTTCACCAATAGTTTCAACCCATGGGGGCCTTGTCCCACACAGCAAGCTTCTGTGCTTGGTGGCAAAGCCCAAACCAAAGAAACATGAAAGCCAACTCCCAAATGGCAGCCTTGAAAATGAACAATATCTAAACTACCAACCAGTTAAAAGATTCACAACTCGCCGTCCTTTTTTTCGGCTCCCAGATTGTTTGAAGCCGAAAAATCCTCAAGTCATCTCAAGTCGCCTGTCCTGCAACATCGTCAGGAATTGTTTGTATAAAATGACGCTTCCTTCGGATTTGGTCTTATAGCTGGCGCAGTGCAACCTGGGGCGAGGTCGGGCGCACAGATGTGGGTGAAGAACGATACAGTAGTTAGTAGTTGATTCCTAGAAATGAGCTTTGTTGTTGATGTATGTATCCATATATTATCCATCATGTTTCCTCATTCAAAAGAAGTTTGAAGAATGCTCTTGAAAACCAGTTGTCCTTCGTAAAAGTACATCATAGTATATCACGGTACCCATTTTCAACCCCAAACCTACGTAGATTTCAAATCTTTACTATACGTTCTATTCTATTCATTCAAAGAACACCCCTTTAGTAAAGATTCTCCCGATTTTCCCCAACATGTCAATGGCCATTTCAGGAGCCGAAACTGGAGCTACTGAGTACAGGTACTGTACCATAGTTTGGGCCTATATCATCCTATATCCCCATAGCAACAACCTGACATGTCCACTGAATGGATCCAAATCCAACCAGCCACAGCCAGAGCCCAGTGGCATCTCTACGAGATCTGCAGCGTCTAGCCCGGCCGCCTGGTTCAGAGAGTAATGTGGGTAAAACAATAACAAACCACCCATTTATGATGATTTTGGAGATGGTTTATTATTGTTTTACCATGTTTGACCCACATTAATGTGGAATGTAGTTAAGGAAGATTGTAACTGATGCCATGTCAATCATAGAATGAGGATGACATGCGAACCCAAAAGCGGCAACACGACTGATTATTGGTTCTACAAAATCTACAAACCCATTAACCTTAGTTAGAATTGCCCATAAACCATGGTCATTGGCAATTGGAGTTATTGGAGTTGTAAACCAACTTCGCTATCGAAGCGGGGGGCCCGGTTCAAACCTATGTTGGCTCGAAGACCCCGAAGGAGGCACCTCGCAAAGTTCCATTTTGAGCTCCGGATCTCCAAGCAACCTCTGGCGAAGTGCTAGGGCTAGCAGTGCCATGGCCATGAACAGATGCACATGTGATATGTACGTGATATGTATAGACATGCATTGTAATGTGGAAAAAGATGTACATATACGATATGATATGTCTATCATATTTGTTTATCATTTTTATGGTACGTGGAGGACATTAGTTACAGTGTATTATATATATATTTTTCTCTCTCATATTTATTCATCATTATTATTATATATATATTGGTGTTGTTTTTTACTATTACTATTGTTACTATTATTGTGTTTGCTATTATTACTATATATTTATACTTTAAAAAAGCGACAGTGGGACCCATCCAACTGGATCCATTGAACCAGCATGGCGCCCGTCGGACAGGCAGCTTCATCATCTCTTGCTCGGAAATGGAGCCACTTTCGTCTTCATCCAGCTTCCTGGGGCCACTTCGGCAAGAAGTTGTGATATCTCCACTTCATTGGGCGATCACAACTACGAGTACGAAGTGATACGAAGTGGATATATCACAACTATCATATGTTTAGTGGAGATATCCATGAATTTTGGGCCAGTGCCATGAATTCTGGGGCAGTGCATCTCTAAAACGACACTAGATTTGTTCATGGCAGATGGCCAAGCTGCAGAAAGATATTGGTGATCTGGCGCTTGGCATGCTCTTGCTTATCCGACATGGCCTTTTTGCGATCCTCTTCCTTAGTGATGTCAACCATGGGCGAAGGATGGAAAGGGCCACAAGGAAAGGGTGAAAAATGGGGTCCCTCCAAATGACCATCTTAGATAAGAATCTTAATGGGGAAAATGATACTAAGATATAATAAGCCACTGGAATTAGGGGCACCCAATTTTCTGACCAATAGATCCAGAAGAATTACTGAAGATTGACCTGGTGACACAAGGACAACCCGAATGTGTCAACCTACCTCCATACCAGGAGCTTCCCCCTTGGGGCGGAAGCCGCCCCGCCAAAGAATCCTCCTTGACTCTGGACACCGACATCATGTTGTCACTGATCACCTGGGTGCCAGAGGAGGCGCAACCGTTCAACACCATGGCGGCTAATATTTCAAGATGGCCAAAAGGTGCTACATACCGCACAAGCATCTACATCTACATCAAGTCCTCAGACCTATCTATCTTGTACTGATATATGATTTATACCCTCCGGTAATCAAACGTGGCAGTGGAAAATCCATGAAAATTTCTTATAAATAGAGTTTGTTGGGAAAACCATCTATACTACAGTAATCTATACTAATTACACCTAATTAGGGATTGTATATTTCACAAATCCAAATATTTTCGAATGGCTCTGTAGGTTTTTTTACTGCCAGGCAGCTGAAGTGAGGATCGCCAACATCATCCAATTCGACAGCATCATGAAGGCGTAGAAGAGGATTTGACCTGGAGCCCCACGTCATCCCACGTCGCATCCCACGTGCAAAAAGACGGGATTCCAAGCAACCAAAGACTAGATGTCTTTCCTGCAAAACTGGATTCAAAGGGAATTTTGTGACAGGAAATCATGTTTTTTTTCCATCGGTTGATCTGTCTTCAAATGGGCTCCAACCACATCTCCTTCAAACCAACTCTAGCACTGGCTAATCACTGTTCAACTGAGCGGTGTTGAAAACCCCTTTTGCGAATTTCTTATGATTCAATGTGGCTTTCGCGGAGCTTTCGCGGATCATGTTCAAGTTTATGTCTTCCGGACGCAATTAGCTGACGGCAGCTCCTTTTTTCTTCAGACAATCACTGATGCTGCTTTGGATGCGCAAGTTTCCAGGAATGCGGGGCCTCCTCTTTCGTTTTTGCGCAGAATATCTTCGGGTGGTGCTGCAACGTCCCTGACGCCCTGCAACGGCCCTGACGTCCTGCAACGGCCCTGACATCCTGCATGACATTCGCAACGTCTCTGTCGCCCTTGCCATCCGTCATAGATTTTGGGGCTCCAGCCTTCTGGCTCTGCTTTGGCTTTCGCCGGGTTTTCGCTGGTTTTAAGCTGAATATCTGGATTTGAAAGACAAAAAAACGGGGCACGAGACGACATTATCAAACAGAGTGAAGCCAAACCTCTGCAAGAACAAATGATTAAAACTACATTTAACTATATCAAATAAGTTAAAACTAACAATAGACAATCATTTCAAGCTTTCGCGGAGCTTTCGCGGTTAGAATTCTTAACCCCTATTTCGCTGGCGCTTTCGCGCGTGAGGTTTTTACTTTCGCGGAAGTAAGTTAGTTTAACGTTTATATAAGATTTCGGCCCGACCACCTACCAGCGAGATCCATTGTTCACTGTACTGTATGTTGCGGTTTGTGACGGTACCTATACAACCTTCTCATTCTGGACTTCAGAGTTTTGGATGAACCATTGCGCGACGCGTGGCTGCAGCATGTGGCACGACTGGTTTCCAAGCGTCAAACTATGTCTGACTTGGATGGTCTAGACCCTTTGCTGCTGGACCTGGATGCCTCACGTTTGACTAGTTTGTAACAGTCATTGGTTGGGGCACTACGTTCTGGTTCTTTCATGGAGAAAGCTGCTCAATCACGTTTTGATTGTACCAAGCAGGCTGACTGCACTCTTTGTGGGGTGAAAGACACTACGCTTCATTGGTTGGAATGTCCAAGATTTTCTGCGGAATCATCACGCCCTGGACACCACAGCCTTGAAGGCTCACCTACTGCCTTCACGCTCACCATTTGCTGTCAGGTGGAAGAAAGCATTACAAAACATTCCCTGTTCTTTGACTGATTTTTGGTCTCAGCCGAATGCAAGGACCCAACATTTGTTTACAGATGGATCTGCTACCAATGCCTCACAACCCTTTGGCAGAGCGGCATGGGGACGTTTGAATGCGACCACTGCCAGCGTTGTTTCCATGGGTCATGGCCGAGGGCTTCAGAAGACAAGTGTTGAAATTCTGGCGGTTCTTTGTGCTTTGGAATGGCAATGTCGTGGTGCATCTTTGGATCGACTCGAAGTTTGTTGTTGATAGCTTAGCTTACCTCATGCAGTTTGGGGTGACTGGTGACTGGGCTCACATTGGTTTGTGGGATCAGATTAAGCTGCTGCTTCAACAGATTGGGCCGAATGCGCTGACTGCGCACTGGACACCGGGTCACTCAAATGGAATTCCCCTTTGAGGACTGGGTTCGGTGTTGGAATGACAGGATTGACACTGCGGTGGGATGTTACTTTTAGCCGTCCAAACGATTTTCTTCAACTGCGCGTTGATGCCAAAACTCATCATGAAAGTGTTGCTGCCAGACAGCGTCAATTTCGTGACTTCTACTTTGCGGTTGCTGTTCATCCGAAGGACCCTGAGAGCAGTGAAGAGCCGGACGTTTCACTTTTTGGTTTTGTTTCGGAATCTCAGAGCACCCTCAGCGATTTGTACATTCCCTCAGCTGTTGAGCTCATTGATTCCTCAAATTCATTGCCTTCCGATTTACCTTCGGTTTTTGTTTCCTCCTTGATTGACCATCGTTTGTTGCATTCGTGTGGGGATGGGGGTGTTTACCCTATGTGTTTCGAGGAGCTTACCATTTGGTTAATCATTCAAGGACTTTAGTTTGCATTTCCATTCAGACACCATATCTCGGGGGAAATGGAACTTCATGCCATCTCCGCGAGGTTTGAACGGCCGACCTTTGCTTATTTGTACCAATTGGTGAAGGGTTGTGATTTGGTTTGTTGATTGGATGATGGTTTCAATGATGTTTTGTTTAAAGGAGTCAATAAGGTTGACCTCATGGTGCGTCGCCTGGAGGGTTTGGACGCTCAACTGCCCACATATAGACTCCTAGACTCCTATAAAAAATGGGTAAAACATGTGAGTCGGAACAGAGGGTATAACGGTATAACTAACAGGAAAACCATGTTCATTGCAATTTCATGGGCGTTTATGATGATCAACATTGATTCAAACGACGGGATTTTAGGATTTTCAGGAGGGAAAAGCGTGCAAAAGCCCACCTCCCACTGTGCTAATGATCTTTTCCACCACCGACTGGTCGTCGTTCATCAGCTTGAAGAGGGCCAAGAATGATCTCCAGACCTCTGTTTTGCAACCAATTTTTGGGACATTTCTACGAGAATTTCTATTCAGATCTTAGGAATTAAGTGACAGATGTGTTCTGTGTATTTGAGAACCGGTTCAACTAAACCTCCACCTTTGGCACAGGATCTTTTCATAGCGTTGATATCAAATGGTATGTTCAATTTCCATAGCTGGTTGATGGTTGAAAGCCATTCCGTAGTATTCTTCAATGATTCAATCGAGATGAGCATCCAAACTTACCAATCAGTTTCATGGAAGTTAATCATAACCTGCTTAGATTATTTTGCTGCCAAAATTACCCAAGTACCCCAAGTAAAAGACAATGAAGTACCAGGCAATACTAGCAAACTGCGACAAATTACCAGTGGAGGGTAACCAGATTTCTGATTTTTACATGATTTATACATGATTTTCCCATCAAAAACCCATTCTATCCTGTTTGGGATGGCTGGAATACAATCCATAAAAATGATTGGGGGATTGTTTATATATTTTTGGATTTACCACATCATATTACTAACAATTACTAACCATTACTAACCACGACTGGATAATGGACAATCAGCCCCAGCAATGGTTAGCTAAATTAGAATGGAAATGTTAGCATTACTAATGAAACTATTTATCATTATCCATCTTAAAAAATACTCATTTCTCCATTTTAATCATCCATATGCTGATTAAAAACCAATAAAGCTGGTATGTATAGTAATTAACCATGGTTAATCATGGCCCCAGCGCCGATGGTTGGTGGCCCAGCTGCCGAGCCGAAATTTTCGCTGGCCTCCTCTGGAATCTCCGAGGGATCCTTTGACAAAACACCGGTGGAGGAAGAAAATGGATGGTATATGGATGGCATATGCATACATACATACATACATATTATATATATATATATATCTTATGGAAGAAGAAAATATATCATGATATCTGATATTTGAGGGTTTCATATGGGTTTCATTGAAATGTGACCATGTGGTATTGATATGCATTGATATGATTCACTGTAGACTTAGGATGTTCAACTCACATTTATATAGATGTATAGTAAAGAGATGTGTCTGTGTGCCTATCAGCCCGAGCACTTGGCAGCCGTGCTATGGCAATGTTTGGCCCCCAAAATGAATAGATCCAAAGGCGGGTTTCGCTTGGGTGCTGTTTAGTATTCTGGGATGGTATTACAAAAGGAGTTATACGCAAAAATACCCCCCATTTGCCATTTGGCTGGGGGAAATGATGATAAACCGCATCCATTGGCGCACCCTAAAAACCAAACAAACACAATACCCGCTGGTATGATCCCGTCTCCTGACCCTCCTTATAATAAACGACCCCCAAACGAACCCAGGTGTAACGAGTTGAAACGAGTTGAATCTCTTCAGCCGGGGTTGATCTTAATGTTGTATCCTGATTAGTGTCTAGGCTCGCTATTGTGGCCAATTTTTTCCAAATTATTCAGGGCCCCAGCAATGTTTAGAAGGTTCACTATAGTGGCAAGAATTTTTGGGAGACCAATGTTTTTCGTCCAAAAAATGGCTGGCGTAAAAATATCTGAACACTTTTTCAGGAACAAATCTTGCTTGTCTCCTGTCCCAAGAGAATCAGACCGCTTATTAAACCCATTTAAACCCTTATTAAAGAACAGTTTTTCAACAAATTTCAAAGGGGCCATGAGAGGTCCAATTCGCTTTAGTAGGTTCGTTCTCAAGGTTCACAATTGCAACAAATTTTTCCACAGCTGATCCTGGAGCCATGAGAAGGGGAAAAAAACATTTACAATTTTTTTTCTCTTTATCTTCCTCTTCCTCTCTCTCTCTCTCTTTCTCTCTCTCTCTCTCTCCTTTTCCTGTTGTCTTCCTCTTCCTCTCCTCTCTGCTCTCTCGTTTCTCTCTCTCCTCTCTCTCGTTTTTTGCACCTGTCCTCTTTGACTTCTTTTTCTTTTCTTCCTCCTCTTCCTCCTCTTCCTCCTCTTCCTCCTCTTCCTCCTCTTCCTCCTCTTCCTCCTCTTCCTCCTCTTCCTCTTCTTCCTCTCCTTCCTCTCCTTCCTCTCCTTCCTCTCCTTCCTCTCCTTCCTCTCCTTCCTCTCCTTCCTCTCCTTCCTCTCTTTCCTCTCTTTCCTCTCTTTCCTCTCTTTCCTCTCTTTCCTCTCTTTCCTCTCTTTCCTCTCTTTCCTCTCTTTCCTCTCTTTCCTCAGGAAAAGAAGGAAAAGAAGGAAGAGAAGGAAGAGAAGGAAGAGAAGGAAGAGAAGGAAGAGAAGGAAGACTTAAACGAAGGAAACGAAGGAAACCTCCTTCGGCGAGGAAACGAAGGAAACTCAGGAAAAGAAGGAAAAGAAGGAAGAGAAGGAAGAGCCTCTCCGAAAAAGAAGAGGAAACGAGCCTCACTTCCTCTCCTTTTCTCTGAATATCCGGACTCTCCGCCTCTCTCTGAACCTCATTACTTTTTCTCTTCGCCCTCTTTTCTTTTTCCTCTTTCCTCTCTTTCCTCTCTTCTCTCTCTCTCTCTCTCGCTCTCTCTTTTTATCTTTCTCTTCCTCTCGTTTTATCTTTCTCTTCCTCTCTTTCCAGTTCTCTTTCTCTTTCTCTTATTACACCTTGTTTTCTTTAAAAAAAACTAAAGTTGGAAAAGGTGACGCAATCAACATGCCCAACCCCACTCACTAGAAGTATTACAAGTACTGCAAATATGACAAGCAAATAATGAAAGTTTTAATTAGATTTCAATTGTCGCCAATCGAAATCCTTACTTAATTATATAACTTAAATGCGGGATCGCATTTTTCTGGGGAGGGTTTTTTTGACACCCAACCTTAAACAGGGTATAGCTATTGTTGAGGGGGAGCCTACACTAATCAGATCGAAACATTACCTGTTTTCTACCTCTGTTTGTAGATACATACAGCACCGATACATGGATCACGGATGGTTCTCTGTTCAAAAAAATAGCAAGCCCCCCAAATCAACAATACGCCATTTTGGGGGGTGATGCCACTTACAAGTAACCCCATCACAGTGTCGTGGGCCATCGCCAATCTTCAACGAGAAGCAGCATAGATGTAGCCCCGACCCACCAGAGTGGTGAAAACCAACGAGGCGGAGTAGAGCAAAATAAAAGTAAGGGTAATGACCTGGACGCGTCTGCAATTTAACCATTGGAGTTGACCCACAGGAAGCTACAAATATCTGTGCATGCAAGAGAAGACCTTGGGCGGAGGAAAACATCTAAGAATCTACAATAAATAGAATGTAAATATACTGAGTTAGATTGATATATTATGACCTGTGGGGATCGAGAATGCGGCATTCATTACCCCACAGGTGTGCTATCAAACTGGTGTCTGCAAATGCTTCCAGTGGAATTCACCCATGGATTGAATGCATGGATGTTTCTGTTTCATCACTAGTGTTGCACCTTGGAAATTCTTCCCATGAGGGTCACCACGGGTCACAATAAATGGATTGATTTCAGGGAATGTTTACAGGAAACCTTGGTTTTACCATGGGTTTTACCGCTAAATATGGTGGTTTTACTGCTGGTCCAACCAATTCTGGGTCGGAACTCGCCGGTCTCTGGCTAAGCGGCCCATCCAACAGACGCCATGGATTCCACCACTCCTTGGGCCGCCGCGGCTTGGGACCTGGTTGGGTACCCTATCTGACACCCAGAACGAAACCTTGAGACCTTGGCTCTGTTGGGGGCCCATAATGCCCATGTGGCTGGTATTCTTCGGGGGGCTGAAAATTCTATGGCTAGAACTGCTAGACTCTGCTAGACTTCAACATGCGCCCGTCCGAATGGTCCGAGTTTCCGTGGATCAGCTTGTACAGCTGCTTCACTCCTCGGATCATTGGGGCTCCACGAAACGTTCGGACCAGGTGCCATGGAAAAGTCCGAGAAACAGATTTTGACGCCACATTCCCCCACAAAAACATCTATCCTCTTTGATTAGTCAGCTTAACTTAACCCGTTAAACCAATGATTTTCTCATGAAAAATTGGGATTTCCCATAGACAATTTTGCCGGACGGTAGTTTTGAAGCAGGTGCTGATCTCATGCTACATGTCACTGAATGGGACCTCAAACATCCATCCCAAAAAGAAACAAACACACTAATGGTTCATTACATTTACATAGCACAACATTCATATTATGTGCATATATATATATACATATATATATATGTATATTATGTATCTATGATGCATTTGTAGCTTAAGCCATCTTAAGCCTCAACAAGTGATGGGTCCGCCCAGCCCACCTCGCAGCAGCCGCGCCAAGCGCAGCACTCTGAAGACCCGCACAATGCGCAGGGCGCGGACCAGGTTCATGGACCTCACAAGAACGACGTTCCAAGACAGCCTCTGGTTATCTCTGGTTGACGTATGGAAATACTCTCTGGTAATTTAACAGTTCGCTATTGACAATTGCCATAGAAATAGTTGATCCATTTAAAATTGTGATTTTCCATAGTTATGATGATTTACCAGAGGGTATATGGAAATCACCATCTTTTAAGGGCTAAATATGGCTAAATCACCATCTTTTACTGAGTAAAGGGCTAAATCACCATTTGGATTGTGGATCGTCAACTTCTATGGTCCATAGCTTCCATAACTTCCATGATCTTCCATTGCTATGTGAAATCATTAGAGGGTACCTGATGCCGGGTGAACAATATGTTTTCTTGATTAATCCCATCAAATCTCATCCCTCCATATTTAATATTGAATACCTTCATGTGGGCCCCTCGAGTGACTATACTAAGCCAGGCTTTCTCGGGGGGTATCCAATATGAGGGCTATGGGCTTATACTGACAAGATATACCGGCGTTTTCGTTGATCCATCTCACATTAAAAAGGTATGGTTGATTTAGCGGAACGCTGGCAAGATACAGTCCCTGCCCCCTCCCCCTTTAAATAACCCCAAAACATGAGTCAAAATATACCAAACACCGATTTGCACGCATGTTTGGATTCATTTGTTGATCACCGAAGGAAGTTTAGAAGTCAAACTTCCGACAATATGGACAAATGAAAAGCAGAGATGGGAAGAGTCAGAGAAGAGAAGCGTAGAAGAGAGAAGAGCAAAGGAGAGAAGATCAGAGAAGAGAAAGAGTCAGAAGAAAGAAGATGCACGTGCGCGAAAAGGTAGGAAAGTCGCGCAACACTATGTTTTTCCAATGATTTGTGGCTCCGAAGGGTCGAAAAGTAGGCTCGCTAAAGCGGCGGGTGCAGAGCCATCTGGCCAGATGAGAGATGAAAAATTGCACGCCGTTGTGGCGCGAAGCACATTTCCAAGTCAAAATGTAGAAAAAAAAACACCACATGTCCGGAGCACTCTTGGAAGTTGCGATGTTGAAAAAGTGCACACCGTGTGGTGTGAAGAACATTTCGAAGTCAAAATGCACAAAACACGCCATATCAGGACCACTTTTGGAAGTTGAGATGTCGAAAAAGTGCATGCCGTTGTGGCGCGAAGCACATTTCGACGTCAAAATGTTAAAAACACCAGGGATTCGGACCACTTTTGGAGGTTCAGATGTCTTTTCGCGTGGCAGGTGCAAGGGATTGGGGACCCTTGTCAAAAGTGAGCAAAACGTGAGGGTTTTGCAACAACAACAACAACAACAACAACAACAACAACAAACACCACCACCACCACCACCACTACACCACACTACACTCCAATACACTACACTACAACTACACTACAACTACAGCTACACCTTCATTACAGTCTACTACACTACACCACACTAAAATCCACTACGCTCCCACTGCACTACACTACACTACACTCTACTACACTCCGCTACACTACACTCAATTACACTACACTACACTGCATTACACTACACTACACTCCACTACATTCCACTACATTCCACTACACTACACTACACCACACTACACCACACCACACTACACTCATACACGCTACCCTAGCCCACATTGCATTACATTACACTACATTACACTACACTCATTACACCACCACAAATGCAACTGCAACTGCGCTACACTAATTACACTAATTACCCCACAACTACAATTCCACTACACTGCAACTACAACTACAGCTGCACTACACCACACTACATCCAGCAGTTGTGGGTGAGGTGACCGACCAGGTGACCACTGCAACCATTGCAGCCACTCCAAAAAAAACAGCTCCAACCACCTTTCGGTCCAGCAGTGGATTCGCTCTGCCATCCGTGATTCACAACAACCAATCTCTCCTATAGGTTTCCCATTTTTGAAACTTCCGCCACGGCCTTGTACGGTACTATTGGTAAATTTATCCATATATATATTTGTTTAGGGCCCAAGTAGGATAGATTGATATAAATTGGTCACCCCAAGCATTTCAACCCCGGGCTCGTGTTTCTGCAGTTTTCTTTGTGTGGCTGTGTGGTTGGCATGACTTGCAGAAGTCCCAAATGGACAAGTTGCCTCCATTGTTAGGCAACAGAAGGCTTTGTGGTACCGATAATCAATGATAATATATGATAATCGTCTATTGTTGGATGGGGTCATAAATCCACAAATTGCTTGGCTCGTGGTAATGGCAGGGTAGAATGAGCTTAGCTACTGTTTAACCATTCAAAATCTGTAAAATGATGCCAAAAGATGGCTTGAAATCGACACCAACAAGTAAATCACAGCAAAATCTGCAAAATCAGGATACTCCCCATGTATTCCCCACATTCCCCATGGATGATTTTCCGGTTAAAACATGTTTTTTCCCAAGGCGCAGGGTGGCCGTAGAGGCATGTCCCATGATCAGCGCATAGATGGCGTGGTACAGCGGCAACATCCATTGCTCCAGGACGCCGAAGAAGACGATGACGAAATCCAAGTAGTTCCAGGTCCAATTCCTCAAGACATGCGGAAACCTGGTGATAAAAATGCTAGGGAAACCCAATGTTAGGAATTAGTACTAGTGAGATTTGGTAAAATTTATGGTGATTCATATTCCCAGAACTTTTTCGGGAATGGAGTGGAGGCCTTGGGTTTCTTGCTCACCAGTTTCTTGCAGATGTTCCGGTTCAATGGATTGATTTAGCAAGTAAAATATGGTATGTTCAAAAATATTCCCGTGTTTAGTGAAATTGTTTTGACATGTCCATAGAATATATCAATTATTCCATCTACTTCATAATCCTGATCCGCATCAAGTTGGTGATAATGATAATCATTATATTCCATAAATGTTATGATGTTCCCATTATTGTTGGTTTATCATATCCCCATGACTATGGTTGCTATATCTTCCATGACCAGTTCAAGTCCAGTTTCTCATGCACAAAATAGCTGCGACCATGGTAGGCCAGGCGAGCACAGAGCTCAAAGACGTAGATCACCAGGAAGAACTCCTGCACAACGTCGTCACGGCGCAAAAATTCAGAAGTGGCGCGTACGTCCAGTTATTGATTTGTTTGCCTCCAAAAAAATGACGATAGCAAATGTGTATATAGCCAATACTACACATATTAAATGTACATAAATCATGAATGTAGCACATATCATGTATACGTATATATATATATACACACATACTTATATATACACACATACTTATATATACACACGCATATATATATATATTTATTTATTTATTTATTTATAAGTCTATTTAATTATGTATCATTTATATATATATATCAAGACGTGTCCAATCTGAAACCAAATCCGTCACCCCCAAGTCTGTCGTTGTGCACCTCGACCCACCTCCATAGTGGCCCTGGATAATCCAACTCGAGCCACATCACCACCGCATTCACAACCTATCCCAACGCGGATGGGGACCTGATGGGGATAGGGTATGGCTAAAGGCTAAACGCGACCGTATATGACTGAAATCCTGTGCTTAACTCACCGTGCAGATCACATAGCCTATCACATGTTGGCATCTTTTTTGAAGCCAAAAAAAAGGAACAAGTTCTGCTTAAATCCCCATGCTATCCAAGGCTGGCTTCACGACTTTTCACCCACTTTTGCTTCAGGCCGCAATGACGGACATCATCAGGGTTTCGAAAAACTGGTGCTGGGTCCAGGAGAGGTCCGACTCGCACAAATACCGGAGCAACTTCCTCGGCCATCAGAAAAGATGGCCCGGCAATAGTTCAATGATTTACATTGAGGGTTTCCTAAAATGGAGGTACCCCAAAAATGGATGGTTTATAAATTGAAACGCCTATCTATAGATGATTGGGGGTACCCCATGGTACCCTCATCAAACTGCGGTAAATTACCGGTACCAGAGGGTAGCTTTCAAATGAGGTGACAAGATCAAACCACCCATTGGTTTGAATAAAGAATGGAAAAGGCAACACAGCTGTCGCCACCTCAAATCTCCAGTTATTTTTCAATCTGAGGGTACTCTCGGCTACATCCTGTAGCTTCCAATCATGCCAGGCACACCCAGTCTCAGCCACCAAATGATCTGGAAATATTCAAACTTCAAATATCATACGTATTCATATGTGGGGATGGGTCAAAACCCTGGTACCTAGTGAACCCCAAAATAGCTGGTAAATGGATGTTCATTCCCCTAAAAATGGTATTAATGGGTATTGATCCATACCCATGTTCCAACCTCAGTCTCACAATTCCTAATCCCTTGATCCACCTTGATCCATGCATCAGTCCCCGCGCCAGCCGTGCCAGCCGCAATAAGCGTAGGCCCCTGAGCCCAGAAAGATGCAGGGGCGAATGGCCCGAGACCAACAACGGCAAAATCAACTCGGTGATGCCGCTCAAAACGATGATCAGGTCCAACCAGTTCCACCACACCACCTGAATGGAGAGAGTTGCAGATATGGAAACATGTTGAAACCCGATCTGATCGATCCCGAACGGTGGCCAAACATGGCCAAACCACAAAACTATACATAGTCGAAATATGTCTAAATCATAATCAATGTTTCAGAATGTTTCAGATTCACCCAATGATATGTGGGGAGTTTATCAAAACCCATGAAACCCACTGGCGCTTAAACTCTTCGACCAGGTACGTGGCAGTGGCCGCAGAGCAAACGGCTTTCGTAGCAGAATCCCTTCAGGATCAGCTCCAAACAATAAAACACCAAGAAACACAGATCCACCGTACCTCGGAGCGACCAAAGGAGGGTGACAAAACTGCGGGCAAACTCACCCCTTGCAAGAACCGAAACCATTTGGGTTTGTTTGGATGTTCGGGAAGCAAAAATCTGGGAAATATTCGGAAACTCGGGAATTCGGAATATTCTAAGTCGTTCCGGAGATGCTTGACCAATCACCCAAAAGCTTGGCGTTCTTCAGTTGTAGCACCTGGAGGGGCGAGCGCCGTCTCAATGCACACCGCTTTAGACATCGAAAACATTCGAAAACAACGTACATCAATGAATTGTTGGAAATGTTTTGAAACCAAAAGAACAGTTCTATGTTTTTTCCTTCTATCAGAAACTATCCATCTCGAAAAGGGCCAGAATGGGTGAAGGTTTGATGTTGGCACAGCATCGCTTAGGCTACGTGCGGCTACTTACGGCTACTTGCAAGCCAAGCACCATAACCACCAGATTGGCCACAATGACCTCGGGAAGCATCCCATGGGCACATAGATAAAGCCTTCCTCATTTGTTTATGATGGAAAATCTTACTAAAATGGATGATTTAGGGGTCCCTTGATCAACTCCGCCTCTTTTTTCCCTTGTCACGCGCTCACTGCGCATCGCCGCGCACGGCACGCACGTCACGCGTGCTAGAACCCCCAAGCTGAGCTGGTCAGCTGACGCCTCACAGACGTTTCCGCTTCTTGGCGGGCTGAGAGCTTTCTTCAAAAAGGTCTTGAACGGCCTTTGGCATCTCGCCCTTCTTGATCTTGTCCTGGCAGTCCAGGTTGTGTGATCTTTACTTTCCCCTAAGGGGGCGAAAAAAAAACATAGCAAAGCCCATTGAAGCAGAAAACAATATGCGTAGTTTTTAGGGGAACCAAACACACACAAAAAAAAAACTATCAACTGCCCTGCATAGTTTACGAGAGACCGTCCAGTGTGTGTGTGTGTGTGAGTGTCACGCCGTCACGCAAATTCGTGCAACATACAACTACGCTAAATCACAGCACCTATTTTGGCCAACTGATGCCAACTGGTATTCACGATGTTTCACCCCCCTTGGAACCGGGACCCGGTCCCGGATGGCCGCGCTTTGGGACCCAAAGTTCTGGCAGGCCCTCTTCAGTGGCTCCAAGTTCTTCAGCGCCGCATGCTCCGCAATGGCCCCGAAGCTTTGCTCGTCGATCTGCTCTATCATGAGATCCTTGGATTTGCTTAAAAGGGCCATTACATATATATATATAGAGAGAGAGAGGTAGATAGATAGATAGATAGATAGATATCAGATAGATAGATAGATAGACAGACAGACAGACAGACAGACATATAGGATAGATAGGGCAAATAGGATAGATAGGATAGATAGCGTAGATAGGATAGATACGATGGATACGATGGATAGATGGATAGATGGATAGATGGATGAATGGATGGATAGATAGATAGATTGATTGATTGATAGGATATGAGAGGATATGAAAGGATATGATAGGATATGAAAGGATATGATAGGATCTGAAAGGATATGATAGGATCTGAAAGGATATGATAGGATATGAAAGGATATGATAGCATATGATAGGATATGAAAGGATATGATAGGATCTGATAGGATCTGATAGGATCTGAAAGGGTATGATAGGATCTGAAAGGATATGATAGGATCTGAAAGGATATGATAGGATGTGAAAGGATATGATAGGATCTGAAAGGATATGATAGGATGTGAAAGGATATGATAGGATCTGATAGGATCTGATAGGATAGGATAAGATGGGATAGGAAAAGTTAGGTTAGGATAGGATAAGAAAGGATAGGGTAAGATAGGATAGGATAGGCTAAGATAGGATAGGATAGGATAAGATAGGGTCAGATAGGATAGGATAAGATAGGGTCAGATAGGATAAGATAGGATAGGCTAAGATAGGATAGGATAGGATAAGATAGGATCAGATAGGATAAGATAGGATAGGCTAAGATAGGGTAGGATAAGATAGGATCAGATAGGATAGGCTAAGATAGGACAGGAAAGGATAGGAAAGGATATGATAGGATAAGATAGGATGGGATAGGGTGGATCGAGAGAGAGAGAGAGAGATAGAGAGAGATAGAGAGAGGGGGAGTTAGAGAGTAGATATGTATGTATGTGATGTGATGTGATGTGATGTGATGTGATGTGATGTGATGTGATGTGATGTGATGTGATGTGATGTAAGTATGCATGCATGTATGTATATATATTCATAATTATCCATATTTATATGTTTACAAATATATGGTCATACATATATGTTGTGTGTGTAATGTATGTATACCCAAATAAACTCTCCAAATGATGGATTTACTGGGAAATTTACGAATCCTAAAAGCAGCAAGGGATCTGCCAGGATGGCGACAACCGCCTCCACTTGCCAACGATGCGCCAGATCTAAGGCTGCCAGTGCTGTCTTGTAGTGTGGATCACCCTGCGCGGAGCAGGTGTAGAGTGTTTCCAAGAAGAGGGTCACTGCACTGCTGTTGGTGTCCTTGGTTTTGCCACTTTCGGTCAATGGACAAACAAAAGGAGTACAATTCCTAAATGGTGCCTAGAACCATCTATACATTCCAATGATGTCCATCTTGTAGAGAAACAAAAGCTCCTCAAGCAAACCCAAGAGTCTGGAAGCTGGATGTGCTGAGTCTTCTGTTCCCTCATGGGCGCTCCCAACATGGCTTGGACCACTGGCGAAGCTTCCTGAAGCATCTGGGCGTGAGCTGTCACGCAGCCATCCGCGGTTTCAATGGTCAAGTCATGTGAAGCGGTCGCATGTAAGAACTTCTCCCAAATCCTTGGAGTTCGGTGAGGGGTTCCCCACCCCCCCAAAAAAAAGAAAGTGTCACTCAAAGTTTGCCCAAAATCAGTTTCTCGCCGCCCCAACCCCTCTCAAGAAACGCCGAAGTCGCCAAGACCTACCAAAACAAATCGGTCAATTGAGATGTTCCTACATATTTTTAGTGGTTCCCAGGTTACCAGGCTACCATAAGAAGATCCAAAAATCTCAATGATACCTTCATCCACAGATGCTCTCCGCCGCGCATGCGGCCTGGCCTGCAGCCGGCCCGAGGCCTTGGCCGCCTTGGCCAGGCGGTCGACGGCTTTGCGGAGGTACAGCGCTTCCTTTTTCCAGATTTCCTTTCCTTTCCTTGGACTTGCCCATCATTTGCGGCTGAAAAAGTTAAAGAACATGATATGAGCATGATATATTTTTAACTTATTGATTTATATTTGTTGATTATTTATTTATTTCTTGATCTATTTATATCTATTTATTTATTCGTTCATTTAAATATATATATATATGCATATATATATATACATGTGTGTCTGCGTTTACTTATTTAAACATTTATATAGTTGTTCATTTATTCGTTCATTTACGTAAATATTTGGCTATAAAATCTATAGATATTCCCTTCCCTTTTTCCCCCAAAGAGTGCGTTTTCCATTAGAAAAAAAGAATCACCTGATGCTTTGAAGCAGGTGTCATTTCCTGTCTCCAAGCCGCAATGAAGGACAGGGCCGAATGCCCCTTGTAGGGGACTGCAATCTTGGTGCTGGGGTCAGTGCATTTCCTCACTGTGTAGGTTAACGTTGAGGCACCGGACTTTTGGGAAAAGCTGGCCCCGGAGCCAACGAGCCACTCAATGAGGCCCAGGCATCGGGATTCCTCTTCAGCCTCTGGGAAGCCAATCAAAGCTTCAACGAGGATCGTGGTGTTCCTCTTGGGGTGCAGGGCGCTCCAATCGAAGTGTCTAGGGACGGTGCTTCTCAGTTGTTCTAAGTTCCTATCCTCCAGAAGCGTCCAGAAGAGCTCAAGGTAGTCACTGGACATCCCGATGTCGACCGCGGCCCTAAGAAAAAATCACCACGACCGGCCTCTGAGGCCTTGAGCCAACGTGCCACAAGCCCAGAATTGGAAGAACTTTCGGTTTCTGATCGACAATAACTATGCTACATAATAACACCATATATATATACGTATGTATATATACATATGTATATATACATATGTGTGAGTGTGTGTGTGTGTGAAATGAATGTAATATAACAGGGAGGTTGCTTTGAGGGTGGAAATTGAAATCACAGAAAGTGGCCACTTGCGGCCACTTGCGGCCACTCGCTGGGAGCGGCCACTTGCGGCCACTTGCTGGGAACTGTCTGGGGCGGCCACTTGCGACCACTTGCGACCACTTGCGGCCACTCGCTTGGAGCGGCCACTTGCGGCCACTTGCGGCCACTCACGTGGAGCGGCCACTTGCAGCCACTTGCGGCCACTCGAGTGGCTGCGAGTGGCTGCGAGTGGCTGCGAGTGGCTGCAAGTGGCTGCGTGCTGGTAGAAAAACATGGCAGAGTTGGCATCTTGAAAAAAATCGGTTTTGCTGGAAAAGCGTTGTTTTCAAGTTTGGAGGTTGGATAGGTAGGATTTTATCGTGCCTCACGAAACCATGTGGCAAACCATATGCCACCCATGTCTTCCATAGCGTGGGGAAGATCTTGGGGCGTAGCATCAACGGTGGTACAATGGTAGAAAATTAAAAGGAAGATCTTGGAGAATAGCTCCAATGATGGTGCAATGTTGGAAAGTCGAAGGGAAGATCTTTGAGCGTAGCAAAATGACGGTAAAATGTTGGAAATGGAAAAGATATCCCGAGGAGAAGATCTCAGAGCGTAGCGTCAAGTATGTTAGAAAGTTGAAGAGAAGATCTTAGAGCGTAGTGTCAGTGATGGTATAATGTTTGAAAGTTGATGAAGAGAACACCTTAGACGGTCCATGATGCTAAAAAGATGAAAGAAAAATGTTACAGCATCAACGCAGTACTATGTAAGAAAATCAAAGAGAAGATCTAAGAGCGTAGCAACAACTTTGCTAGAAACTTGAAGGGTAGCAGCTAGCATGAATCAGCGTAGAATGTGAGAAAATTCAAGAGAAGATCTTAGACCGTAGAATCACTCATGGTAGAATGTTTGGAGTATAGCATCAATGATGACGAAATGTTTGAAAGCTGATTAGGTCTTAGAGCGTGGCATGTTAGAAAATACAAGAAAAAACCTCGGCATGTAGCGTCAATGATAATAGAAAGTGAAGAGAAGATCCAAGAACGTAGCATCAATGATGTTACTGTAGAAAATTGAAAAGGAGATCGTCGAGCTAAGGGTCAGTGATGTTCAACACTTGAAAAGAAGATCTTAGAGCGCAGCATTGATGATGTCAGAACATGGAAAAGAAGATCTTAGAGAGTCGCGTCAATGATGTTGGAAAATTTGAAGAGAAGATCTTGGCGCGTAGCATCACTGATGTTTCAAATTTGAAGTAAAAATCTTGGAACGTAGCTTCAAGTATGAGGACAGTTGAAGAGAATATCTTAGAGCGTAGCATCGAACATGTTTGAAAACTGAAGAGAAGTGCTTAGAGCGTAGCATCAATGATGGTACAATGGGAGAAACATGGAAATCCAATCGAAAAACATAGCATCAATGCGCGTAGAATGTGAGAAAAAAAACAAAAGAAATCTTAGAGCGCAGCATCGATGATGTCTGAAAAGTGAAGAGAGTATCTGAAAGCGTACAATGTTGGACAGTTGAGAAGATCTAGAATGGCTGATGTTGGAAACTTGAAGAGAAGATCTTTGAGCGTGGCATCAATGATAGTAGAAAATTGAAGATCAGTTGCAGTTTGGAGATTGAAGAGAAGATCTTAGGGCGTAGCATCAATGATGGTAGAAGCTTGGAAGAATGATGCGCAGATCTTGGAGCGTAGCATCAATGATGGTAGAGTATTTGCAACTTGGGTAGATCTTAGAGCGTAGCAGTAACCAGTTAGAAGCCTAAGGAGAAGCTGTTGGGTAGTAGCATCAATGCATATGTAAAACATGCAGAAGGTCTCAGAGCATATCAGAGCGTAGCATCAAATAATGTTAGAAACTCTTTTCCCCGGTGCGTTACTTCTTTCCTTTCGTTTAAAGCTTCCCTTCCATTTCCTACAGCGTTCCTTTCGTTTCAACTCTTCCCGTCCATTTGATACTTCCATTCTTTCGTTTCAACACTCCCATCCCGTTCATGTACTTCTTCCTTTCGTTTCAAGCCGTTCATGCGGTTACGTCCTTCCACTCGTCTCAATTCCTATACAATCCTTTCGGTTACATGTTTTATTGTAACTAGCCTATTTCGTTTGTTACTTCCTTCTTTAAGTTTCAACACTCCCCCACTTTAGTTACTTCCTTCCTTTCGTTTCAACTCCTTCCTTCCGTTTGCTGTCAAGTCGTTCATTTCGTTACGTCCGTCCTTACGTTTCACCTCGTTTATAAACCCCCTTCGTTACTTCTTCCCCTTCGTTTCACCTCTCACGCCTCCTACAGTCTGTTCGTTACTTTAATTCTTGTCGATTCGTTGCAACTCTTTCCTTTCATTCCTTATATACTTCCTCCCTTTCGTTTCAACTCTACCCTTCCGTTCGGCCGTTCCTTTAGTTTCAACTCTTTCCTTTCATTCGTTACTGTCTTCCTTTCGTTTCAACTCTCTCCTTTCATTCGTTACTTCATTCCTTTCGTTTCAACTCTGACATCCCGTTCCTTACTGATTCCCTTCGTTTCAAGTCGTTCATTGCTGGCCGTGGTCCAAGAGATTTCCTACTTGGATGATTATAACAAAAGCATTCAACCTAACTATGATAAAATTCATCTCTCCCCTTCGGCTGAAAAACATGATACGGATCGAACCAAAAGTGCTGGAAGTCTGGTGAAGCAGTGCCAAGGGTTTGCTATACACAGGCGGTAAACAGCGGTAAACACCGAGAAATTAACCAGCATCCACGAAAAAAATGGTACGACGAATCAAAAATTTACCAACACCGACGGTAAAAGCGATAAAATTCTAAAAAAATATTTCTTTCCTCTCTTCCCTGTAGGGGGCACAAGCGTATACCCGGTCGACAAACAACAGCCGCGAACCGGCCGAACCAAACTGATTTTAGCTGTTTCCGCTTTCAATTTGTTCTTTCCGTTCATCGTGTCCTTCCTTTCGTTTCAACTCAATGTTTCCTTGCCGTTCATTGCCTCCTTCCTTTCGTTTCGCCTCTTCCTTTCCATGCGTTACTTCTGTCCTTTCGTTCCATGTCTTATATTCCGTTCGTTGCTTCTTCCCATTCGTTTCAACTCTTCGTGTCGTTTCAACTCTTCGTTTCCGTTCATTGCGTTTCTTTCCTTTCATTTCACGTTTTCCCTACTATGCGTTACTTGCGTCCGCTCGTTTCAAGTCTTATGTCCCGTTCGTTTCCTCTTCCCTTTCGTTTCAACTCTTCCCTGCCGTTTGCTCCGTCCTTCCTTCTGATTTAATTCTTCCTGTGTCGTCTCAACTTTTCCTTTCCGTTCGCTGCGTCCTTTCTTTCATTTCAAGTCTCCTCTTCCATTTGTTACTTCCTTTCTTTCCTATTAACTCTTATGTCCTGTTCGTTTCCTTTCTTTCGCATAAACTCTTATGTCCTGATCGTTCAGTTTTTCCTTCCGTTTCAACTCTTCCTTTCTATTCGTTGCGTCTGTGCCTTCGTATCAACTCTTCTGTCTTGCTCGTTTAGCTCTTCCTTTCCTTTCACCTTGTCCATTTCGTTGTGTCCATCCTTTCGTTTCAACTCTTCCCTCCTATTTGTTATTTCTTTCCTTTCGTTTCAACTCTCACCTCACGTTTTCAGAAAACTTGAAAAGAATGCAGTTCGCGAGAAAAGCAATTTTTTTCAAGTTTTCAAGGGTGGGGCCATTCGGGCTGGTATTTGCCGTCCAAGCAGCCACTTGCGGCCACTTGCGGCCACTTGCGGCCACTTGCGGCCACTTGCCCCAGCGGCCACTTGCGGCCACTTGCGGCCACTTGCGGCCACTTGCGGCCACTTGCGGCCACTTGCGGCCACTCGAGTGGCTGCAAGTGGCTGCAAGTGGCTGCAAGTGGCTGCAAGTGGCTGCATGCAAGTGGCTGCAAGTGGCTGCAAATAATGCAAATGGCTGCAAGTGACGCTGCTCTGGAAATTTCAAATCCTACCAGTAGAGCAACCGGCCACGTGCGGCCACATGCGGCCGCTTGCGGCCACTTGCGGCCACTTGCGGCCACTTGCGGCCACTTGCGGCCACTTGCCCCAGCGGCCACTTGCGGCCACTTGCGGCCACTTGCGGCCACTTGCGGCCACTTGCGGCCACTCGAGTGGCTGCAAGTGGCTGCAAGTGGCTGCAAGTGGCTGCAAGTGGCTGCAAGTGGCTGCAAGTGGCTGCAAATGATTCAAATAATGCAAGTGGCTGCAAGTGGCTGCAAGTGGCTGCAAGTGGCTGCAAGTGGCTGCAAGTGGCTGCAAGTGGCTGCAAGTGGCTGCAAGTGGCTGCAAATGATGCAAATAATGCAAGTGACGCTGCTTTGGAAATTTCAAATCCTACCGGTTGAGCAACCGGCCAGTTGCGGCCACTTGCAGCCACTCGAGTGGCTGCAAGTGGCTGCAAGTGGCTGCAAGTGGCTGCTTTTTTGAATTTCAAATACCGCGCGTTTTGCGACCTCAATGAAACAATGAGTATGTACCAGTAGTACCCGCACGAGGCAGGGCGGAAGCTGCGTTAGGGTTGTACTATAAGGTCTTTTTCATCTATAGAGCTTGCGTGCGCCGTTCGCCAGCCAGGCCCATGCGTGATCATGCGTGCGTGCTTTGTGCGAAAGTGGCGCGCTGTTCCAAATGTATCCAAATGTCACACTATGTCACACTTGAAACTCCGCACTTCACACTTCGCACTTCACACTGCACTCTTCACACTTCACACTGCACACTCCACACTTCATCTCATCTCATCTCATCTGAGCTCTTCTCAGTTCATCTCAGTTCATCGAATCTCATCTCTTCTCATCTCATCTCTCATCATCTCATCTCATCTCTTCTCATAGGTCATCTAAATTCTTCTCGACTATTTTCATCTCATCTGATCACTGCTCCACCTTTCTCATCTCATCGAAGCTCTTCTTAACTGATCTCAGCTCACCTGTACGTCAGGAAGTTTTTAGTGACAGAGAAGCTCTTATACGCAAAAACCGCTTGCCGCAGAAAGCTTTTGCACAGAGAAGCTTTCAGGCGCGGATGTATGTATTGTTGTGTGATGTGGTGGTATATGATGTATTGATATGTATTGTTATGTGATGTACTTTTAGGATCTTTTAGGTGATGTATTGTTGTGTGATGTATTGTTGTGACATGTATTGTTGTGTGCTGTATTGTTCTGCTTCACAAGGTTAAATAAAAGTCATCCGTAACTCGGAAGATTGCTTCCCAACTTCCTTTGATGATCATAATCATGCTAGACTGGAAAAAACTTATGACAACAAATCCATACATGTCCCACATTCAACAACCAGTGGCTCAACCCCGGCCGGTGGGAGATCCCCCCTCGGAAGCTTTCACCAAGTTGCCAGGGAGCAAAGGGTGCTGAACCAATAACCTCGACGCTGGAGAGGCTGCGGCGTTCTTTGAGGCAACCATTTCTAGCAGGCAAAGTGCGAGATACATTGAAATGGACATACTGTGGATGGTTGCGAAACCCTGCATCGCCAAAAGGATGGTTGAAACCCTAAAAACAATAATTATTAAATAGTGGGATGTTTACCACCTATCAACTGGTGCAAGATTTCTTCCATCCACCGTAGGTAAACAATTCTGGTAGCCTCGTGAACATCCTAGAAAGTGGACAGAACAGACCCATAAGTGTACGGATATTCTCAAGAGTCCAGAGCTGTCTGGGCATTGTCCCGGATCAGCACCGGGAAACAGCTCGCTGCTCGCTGCTTGCTACCCAGTAGCTTTGCACGAAGACAAAGTTCGCATTCTTCACCCGGACTTCTTCTCCTCGGCGACTGCGCGCCGCTTGACGTTCAGATCTTTGGGGCACCCCGTCAGCTTTTTGTGCCCCCACTTCGAGGCAGCAAAAACACCCGAAGGAATTTTCCAGGTCCAGGATGTCCAGGATGAAACATGACAATTGAAATCAATTGAACATCCTCTCTCATGGAGCTTTTAATGGGAAAATCATCATGAATCATCAATATATAAACTATATAAAAGGGTGATATTCTGGCATGTTTGATTACCAAGTTAAAAAATCTTGATACCGACTCGCCCCCCTCTGCGGATCCAACTCGTCCAGGTCTCCGTGTTCAATGCGCCAGAGTTCGCTCTCCTTCTCGCGCATGGTGCTGCGCAGATTCTCCAGCTCTTCTCTCATAGGCTGGGTGCGTTTCTGGTGTGCCTTCTCAAGCCTTAAACTAAACGAAGCCAGGGACTAATGCTTCGGTTAGGTTCCAGGAAAACCAAAGTTGCTGGGTTCTTTAGGCAGCTTTCAAAGTTTGCGCGTTTTTCTCAAAGTGGCACTAATTTCTGCAACTTTTCATAAAATAGGCGATAGGCAACTTTGGCAAAACATGCAACTTTTTGCCATTTGAAGCCCTCTATAGCCCCACCAGCGCAGATTTTAGTGAGTCAGCCGAGCATTTTGGGCCTCAAAACATTTTGAAACTATTCTATCTATGTCAAGGTTTGATTGTGGAGAAACCGTGCAGGCTCAACAAATGATGACGCAAAAGTATCCAAGGATGCCTGAATTCATATCTCCATGACAGGGAACGCTTTTATTCGCTCACCCGAACATTCCCTTCCTTCTGTGCAACACTGACCTTCCTCTGCAAGTAAATTTACATGGTAATGCGACCTGACATGTTTTGCTCTTCAATGGACATTTATTTGAACTTCAAACTTCCAACAGGCACCTCCCTTGACCCCTGGCACTTGTGAAACACTATAGTTGGAGGACAAATCGTGGACAAACTGCAAAAAGCATAGATACACAGCACGCATAGAATCAATATCTAAAAAACAAAATATAGGATAGACCGCAGAGAAGTCATAGAAATAGAAAGGACATTTTGATTCACGTATAGCGGTATAGCGGTAAGGCCTTTTCCAGGCATAGAATGGACATTTCATACAAAACAGACAGGGACAAGTCAAAATGTGAGAAGATCAGGGCAAACTGTGCAATTATTAAGCAGAAAAATCCATTGCATTACAGTAAGAGCACCTTTCTTCAGGGCGACAATATGTTCCAGAAAATCTTGTGTGAATGTGTTCTATTGATGACTAAATTGTGCACCAACACATGAGCACAGTTTACCGAGGATATTTCGAGGCGTTCTCTGAGTTGACCAGAGAGCAATAGAAATGGATTATTTGCATCCTTGTGTGTCACTGATGCTGCGTTTACCCACCCATGCCCAAAAAAATGAGAATGCAAGCCAAAACGACACAGTGCGACACCGTAAGATCCCATACGGCACCGTACGAAACCGTACGAAAGTGAGAAAGTGGCCAAAAAAAACAAGAAAGTTGCAAGAAAAAAAGTACGAAAGAATTCTGCGCATGTTCATTCAATTTTTCGCACTTTTTCCCTGGTGTTTGCAGGTGAAAATGCTGCAAAGCACGCCTTAAGTTTGGATTTGACTTTTCAAAGCCTGCCAAACTATTCTGCTCAAATTACCTTGCGTATCCTTGCGTTTTTCTGCTGGCCGAAACACTCAGCTTCGCCATCAAATGACTTGTGTATACGTTTGCACTCTAAAGGTTCTGATACTGCCGCCAATTTAACCTTTGTAATACTTTGATCTGGTGAAGCCAAGGCAGCCAAGGAATGCAATCCCAATTTAGTACCTGTCAGTTTGAAAAAATGTTGTTACTAGGACTAGGCTTCCACAGCGGCCGAAAGCAAGCACATGCAAGTGGGAAAAGTCTTGCGGGTGAGCTACTGCAACAATTCGTCATGGGAATTGACAATTCAATCCCCGATGCAGCACATATTTTTTGACAAAAGTGAAATAAGAGTAAACTTTGCGGTTACCAACGTCCAAGTTAAACTGCGAGGAACCTTGGTTTGATTCACGCATTAGTTTACTGCAGGAAAAATTTCAACCCTACTGTTGGTTCTGAAACGTTCACAACTGCATGAATGCCAGCCCGAAGCCAGCATGTAAGAGTTTGTTAAAACTCTGAGATAAAACAATGGGAACATCGGGGAAACGTTGGTATAACTACTTATTACAAACTTCGTACGGGAATTTAATTGGATTTTTTGCGAAAAATGATCTACTTTCTGAGGGGGGGGCCATCTGATGGCGTCATTATCATATATTATCATTGTAAATAAAAAATACCCTATACCAGTAAAGTTTAAACATATTTATACAGTAATTATATCGCTGAAACCGTGTTTTTGCTCTGGCCAAAAAGATGGAAGGACCAGCAATGTTATCGCAGAGGCCTAGAACGCAAAAACTGCCCGATTTCGTCAGTGGCAGAAATTTATGCAACTGGGGTTGGTGCCCGGTTTTTTTGCCACTAAGTTTTCCAGGATCTTGGTAAGGGTGAAAATGGATTGGGTAATTTTTCAGTCGAGGAAGTACACTTCTGATCATGAATCTGCATCTTTGTGCGCTAACACGCGCTAACCACTACTTTGGAAAAAGGAGGGGTGGATTGCAGCGAGAATGCTATAGTTGTGAGTACCTCAAGCCTTCACGGTTGCACACTGCAGCCGGATCCACGGCCATGAAAAGGGCCATGAAAAGGAGGACTAATGATTGCAAGGAGGAACTGATGCTGCTGCTGATGATGATGAGGAGGAGCGGGTTGACGAGGTCGATGAGGTTGATGAAGCTGATAAGGTTGATGATGTTTATCATTGTTATATATTCTTGAAACCGCTATCTCAAGCCCCGCTTCAGCTGCAAGATGCTGCCGTGACTGACGGACATGCCTAGCACACTTTTTCTGACGTGGCCTGTGGCTGGTTTGAGGTTAGAGCTTCTCGCAGTCAGATGCTTCATCTGACAAAGGCAAAAACGAGCACATTAGTGACAATCTCGGGTTGTCTGGCAAGTTCCACCAAAAAGCCCTAGCTGCCCTAGCTTCTTGCAGTCGGGTTGTCCAGCAAGTTCCACCAAAAAGCCCCCACAAAGGGAGGGACAAAGTGAAAAGGGTGGGCAACAAAATCTAGGCAAGTGGGCTCATCCAATTAACTTTCACATTTTGAGCATGTCGTTGTGGTCAGCTATCAGGTGTTTTCTCAGGAAGTGTGGGGCATGTTCAGGAGCTAGTCTTGGAACTTTCGACTTTGACCCTGGACACCCGCAGCTTGTCCCGTTGCAAAAACCGACTCTTCAAGAAGATCACTTCATTGTTGAAACCGCTATCTCAAGCCCCGCTTCAGCTGCAAGATGCTGCCGTGACTGACGAGCATGCCTAGCACACTTTTTCTGACGTGGCCTGTGGCTGGTTTGAGGTGAGAGCTTCTTGCAGTCAGATGCTTGCTTCATCTGACAAAGGCAAAAACGAGCACATTAGGACAATCTCGGGTTGTCCAGCACGTTCCACCAAAAAGCCCAACCACTCCAGCACTGGCTCCAGTGGCCGTTCAGGAAGCTTCGGGGCCACATTGGCATGTGAAAGTCAGATGGACGGAATGTTCCGAAATTAAAGGACCGGATAACCCCACAAGGCAACTTCTTCCAATAATGAGCACCAAATGTTGTAGCGGGGACGGGGAAGGAAGGCAAGACAAAGGAGGTGGTGGAGGATTGGGAAGTAAAACAAAGTTGTATGTGAAAGATGGTGTGTGACAAAGAAATATGGTGTGTGTGACAAAGTTGTGTGAGAAAGATGGTGTGCGACAAAGTGGTGTGTGAAAGAGGGCGTGTGACAAAGTTGTGTGCGAAAGATGGTGTGTTACAAAGTGGTGTGTGAAAGATGGTGTGTTACAAAGTGGTGTGTGACAAAGTTGTGTGTGAAAGATGGTGTGGTGAAAGATGGTGTGCGACAAAGTTGGGTGTGAAAGATGGTGTGGTGAAAGATGGTGTGTGACAAAGTGGTGTGTGAAGGATGGTGTGGTGAAAGATGGTGTGCGACAAAGTGGTGTGTCAAAGATGGTGTGTGACAAAGATGGTGTGTGACAAAGTCGTGTGTCAAAAACGGTGTTGGACAAAAATGGTGTGTTAAAAAGGGTGTGTGAAAGATGGGGTGTGACAAAGATGGTGTGTGACAAAGTCGTGTGTCAAAGATGGTGTGTGTGACAAAGTCGTGTGTCAAAGATGAAGTGTGAAAAAGTTGTGTGTGAAAGATGGTGTGTGACAAAGTGGTGTGTGAAAGTTGGGTGTGAAAGATGGTGTGTGAAAGATGGTGTGTGACAAAGATGGTGTGTGAAAGATGGTGTGTGACAAAGATGGTGTGTGAAAGATGGTGTGTGAAAGATGGTGTGCGACAAAGATGGTGTGTGAAAGATAGTGTGTCAAAGATGGTGGGTGACAATGTAGTGTCTGAAAGATGGTGTGTCAAAGATGGTGTGTGACAAAGCTGGGTGCGAAAGAGGGTGTGTGAAAGATAGTGTGCGAAAGATGCTGTGTGACAAAGATGGTGTGTGAAAGAGTCTTGAAAGAGGGTGTGTCAAAGATGGTGTGTGAAAGATGGTGTGTGACAAAGTGGTGTGTGAAAGATGGTGTGTGTGACAAAGGTGGCGTGTGACACCAGAGCCAGCCCAGTGCCATAAGTGCCAAGCCTGCCACACAAAACGAAGGTGGATGTGACCAAGTGCCGCGCCTGCCACGCGAAACGAAGGTGGATGTCACCAAGTGCCACGCCTGCCCTGCAAAGTGCCGCGGCGTCACCGGCGACCAAAACGGGCCCAAGCGCGCCACCAGAGCGCCGGCGGAGCAAGCAGAAGATAGCAGAAGCGCATATGTAGTAGAGTAGAAGACCAACCCCACCCATGGCTGGAGCAACCACTCAACAAAATCTAGGCAAGGGATCAGGTGTTTTCTCAGGAAGTTTGGGGCATGTTCAGGAGCTAGTCTTGGAACTTTCGACTTTGCCCCTGGACAACCGCAGCTTGTTCTCCCGTTGCAAAGACCGACTCTTCACTATCGTGCTGATGATGATGATGATGATGATGATGGTGCTGGTGCTGGCGCTAGTGCTGGTCATGGTCATGGTGTGAGGAGGAGGCGGGAGGAGAAGGAGGAGGAGTGGAACGAAGAAACAGAATGCAAAGGATCATGATGAAGAGGACAAGAGGCTCATTGACGATGATGACGATGCTTCCAATTCTGACGTTGATCCCAGCAGAGGTGGAAAACTAAGCCAGCATCCAGCTCCTACCATCATTGATTCTACTCCCACTTCTGTTGGTTATAGCCATAGCCCATAGCGGCACTAGACAAGAGTCACCATTTTCGCTGGTCAAATCCCAATGGATGGTAGTTGATTCCGTTCTCGTGTATCCCACGAATCGCAAGTTAAGAACACATAGATACAGCATGTATATACAATACGTATTTAAGCCATATAGAATAGCGGCGATAGAATATGTGCCCTATGTTCACCTAGTAAAGTTATTCAAGTGGAAATCCCATGGGGGAATTTCAGACTCCACCCGCGCCCGTGTTTCGCCCGCATGGGAAGCAACGTCTCCAGCTGAAAGACCAGCTCCTCCTCGTTTTCCTTCATTTCTTCAAGTTCCTGTCACGGTCATGGTTCAATTGTTTCTACCTGACTGGGAGATCACAAAACGACCGGCTGAATGATTGCAACCTACCCGAAATGTGCACTTTCAGTGTCCAAAATGAGAATTCAAGCAGAAACACATGTGCGTGTCGCTGGCCAAAGCGTAGATGTTTCGCAGAAACAGAGACAATGGAAGTATTTTCATTACACAAAAAATGGGTCCATCAAGCCCGACTGGTCTTCGCAGTCCTCCTGTATCTCAGCCATCTGTACCTGGGAGTTGCTATGTGGAATGCTGACTTGACCTGGGCGCAGGCAGTTGACGCGATCAGCAGGAAGCCCGTGACGGGCCGGCATTGAGTCGGGTACCAATAGCAAATGATTATCAAATATAAAGTGATCTCAAATGTGGATTAATCAAATGATTATTCAACCTGATATCATTAGCAAAATGATATTTTACCGGCTTTGGCCTGCTTTCCTCTGTTAAAACCGGCTTTGCAATGTAGATGTTTTCACCAGGTCAGGTCAGAAAACAAGAGCTAGAAAATGGCTATCCAATGGCCCAAAAAGGTGGGATCTCCAACTCAAAACACACGCTTTTTCAGCTTTAAATACGTGTGTATATATATAGATATATATATATACATAATATTTTATATTGACTTGTGGTGGCCCAAATGATCCATTCAATGCGAGCACAGGCCATGGCTGCGCCCAGCGGCTATAACCGACTGGCAACTCTGTGCCCTCAAACCTCACCTGACAGGAAACCATTTCTGGGGGTTAACTCGGGTTAACCATGAATAATCCTGCTTTAACCCTACGACAAATGGTGGTGTACCTTCCAAAGACATGTTTGTTGGTGGGGCTATATGAAACATGGTGGTTTAACGGTGGGAAAACCGAAGAAAAGTAAATTGACAAAAGGTTTTGCAAAGCCACGACAGCCATGGTCTTCCAAGGAAAATGATCTACAAATGGTGGGTGTTCCAGCTCTGGATGAAATCTTCCCAAACATATGTAAATCCGGTGTTTAATATTGTATAGGGGGAAGGGATTATAATATACTACACTATTACACAAAGACCCGGAGGTTTGCACAAGCCCAGAATAGCGTAAATACCAGGGAATTCTGTATAACGTCAAACAACGGGAAGGATTTTATGTTCAATTATGTTGCCAGGGTGTTAACCAGAACATGTTGCTTCTACATATATATATATATAATCAATATATATATATCATATATCGTGTAACCAGAACATGTCGCTTCTACATATAACAATTGATCATACAGTCACTAGAGTTTCTTAAAGGGTTTCAAGAAGATATCAAAAGCCCCCGACCCCATGGAACAATTAACCATACAGTCATTAGGGTTTCCTCTAGGGTTTCAAGAAGATATCAAAATCCCCCGGCCCCATGAAACAATTAACCATACAATCATTAGGGTTTCTTTTAGGGTTCGAGAAGATATCAAAGTCCCCCGGCCCCATGGAACAATTAACCATACAGTCAGTAGAGTTTCTTATGTGTTTCAAGAAGATCTCAAAATCAGTATTATTATTATTATCATCATCATCATCGTCATCATCATCGTCATCGTCGTCCTCAATGTCATCGTGGCTTGCCCGGACGCTCGTTGCGAGTCCGGGCAAACCTCAGGGTCTTGCCATAATGTTATATATATATACGATTAGATAGACTTGAGTGGCGGCTCCTTCTTGCTGCAAATATCCCGACAGAGGCGTTGTCCCTTCTCTCTGGCTTTTCCCAGCAATTGCCTCTTCCAAACACCATCAAACACACCCCCCTTACAGTATCCCCACAAGATGGCAATAGTTGCGAACTGGACCCTTCGAAGACTTGACTTTTTCTCTTAGCTCGCTGAGTCTCCTCCATACTAATTAAACAGATTCAGCCGCCCAGTTTCCCATATTTTCACCCAGCCCTTTTAACAGCGTGCTGCCGAGTTTCCATGGCGGTCCGCTCATCACCCGCCATGTCACGGGTCCGCTCATCACCCGCCATGTCACGGCGACGGACGCAGCGCGTCCGAAGCGCGTCGCCCCTTGGGGGCAGCCACGCCGCGAGCCGCTGCGGACCATGCAGGAGTGGCAAACCCAATGCCATAAACAACTCATTTGGGGATGATAGTTACCAGCCATCTGTGGTGTATGTGATATTGGGGATGGTCCAATCCGCTCTACCACATTCCAATTTTTCAAAGATTTTTCAAAGGTTCTCCTTTTTCAGTGATTCAAGGTTCCGCGCAAACCCACGGTTTACCCGGGTTGATCCTCTGCTTCCGGCAAAAAGCACGTGACACCTGGCGATGACAAGCAAAGCGAGCAAAGTTTGGAGCGTTTTTGGAGGATTTGGAACTTACCCAAGGCGCGGACCGTGACGTGACCATCGTCTGTCATAGCGACAAGAAAACTCTGTTTTCAACAAAGTTCCCTTTGAATGGTCATTTTGTTCCCCACATTGACGTGTGGGGTCTTTGTTTTTAGTGCTGTATCCGCTCCTTCCTTCCTCCCGCCTCCTTCCTCCCACCATCCTCCCACACCCACTCACTCACTCACTCACTCACTGACTCACTCGCGTGGCAGGCACGGCACGTCGTGCGCTGCAAGCGGTCGGATGTACGCCCTGGCCCTGGCATCCCTTGGTCTCCGCCGCTCTGCCGGTGGCTTTTGCGTGGCAGGTGCGGCGCTGGGCTCTGCGGGCGGTCGGATGTAATTACGCCCTGGCGTCCCTTGGTCTCCGCCGCTCTGCCGGTGGCTTTTGCGTGGCAGGTGCGGCACTTGCTGCTGTGCAAGGGGTCGCCCTGGCGTCCCTTGGTCTCCGCTGCTCTGCCGGTGGCTTTTGCGTGGCAGGTGCGGCACTTGGTGCTGATCCGGCTGCTGAAACAGTTGAAACATGGAAAAAGGCGGCGAAGTTATCATTCCAACATAGGACGCATAGGCTTTTCCCCTAAAGTTTTGGGAAACTCATGGAAAATCATCAGATGTTCAAGCTAGAAAGCAAAATTCTCCAGATATGCAAACATGTCCAGACTATGCTGATGCGGTTTTGCTTGTCAGCTTGCGCGTCAGCTTATCATTCCAGTGGATCCCCTTCCGCTAACTTCAAAGCTTCATCTGCTGTGCGCCTCCATACGACAGCCAGGTTCCGCATCAGGCAGCCAACACGGAATCCATGATGATATACAAATGATATACACATCAAAATATGTAGTACTGTATTTGATTGCCTTCATTTCAGGGTGATGTGACTATGATCTTTCGGAAATTTCGAGACGTTAGATAATGTCAGATGTGGTACGATTGGGTGATCAATGACCATAGCCATGGGTAACTCCCCTGTCCAGTAGGTAAGTCATCTACATATGAGGCATCTTTCTGAGGACCAAAATCCAGCGCCACGAGACTCGAGCGAAGTACAGTAATCGTGGCACAAGACCTCCAGAACCTGTTGGTGATCCCAAATCATCCAAAAAGTAGACGATTTTAGTGTTGAAACCCATACATTTTTGGGGATCCCGCATTCAAAGAAACAAAAAAATCTTGTTGAAACCCCCCTCCCCCAATTAAAAATGATCTATGATCCGTTCTCTCCGGATGGCAACGTGGCAAACCGCCAACATCCCCATCACTAGAGATAGGCTTTGTGACACCCCATCATGTTCAACCCCAGAGGTCTAGTTCCACCGTTCCAGCGTTCCAGCGTTCCACCGTTCACCAAATGGACCCCCGGTCAGAAGTTCGTCACCTCCATACTATAGTCATATCCACCACATACCCTACCCGCCCTACCCTCAATCCAACGGTGGACCCAAGGCCAGTCACCAAGCATGACTCGGGGTCATTGTAAAGATCGTCCCATTACCCAATTTCATGAACCTCAAACTTTGGGATGGTCTATGGCCTTGGGTTTGCCACTTTAATATACTTTAATCATTATTAACCATCATTGATCATTAACCACTATTTATCATGATGAATTTCTATGTTCATCATGATTAATCATAAATCATTAACCATTGTCAACCATCATTGGGTTGCTAAACCATCATTGCTAACCATTGTTAATCATTGTTAACCATCATTCTTAACCATGAGTAATTATGAATCATTAACCATTGTTCATTGTTAACCATCATTGGGGTTTCTCATAGTTATGAAATGTTGCACACCATTGTCAAACATTTAATTATCATCATTAGTCCATTATTCACCATGCTTAATCCATTAGCTCCCATTATTTTTTGGCACCATTATAACCATTGTAAACTAAACTAATTTAACCATCATTGATCATGAATAACTTTCATTATTAATATTCAATAGTCATATAATATAATTATCATTAAATATCATTACATAAATAATTAATTAATCCATGGGTTGCTTTTGTTGTTATCAAATGTTAACTTAGCTAAGGCTCCACCTGGCATGCTCAGCATGCTCAGCTTACTCAGCTCCCGGGCATGGCGCCCTGGCGTGTTCACTGGCGTGGCATTGGGCGTCGCTTCTCCCGCCTCCAACTGGCCACGGGCGCGCCTGTCGCGCAAAAAATGGGGAGTGAACTTGAGTGAACCACTAAGTTTAGCACCAAAAAACCATTGGATCTGAGGAAGTGACAGGAAGTGGTGGAAATTTTAGGGGACAAAAAGTGGATTTGAGCAGAAAAGAATTGGATTTCACGAGCAAAAAAAAAGCATTTAACGAAGACAAAATAAGCAACAACACCTTTGTTTCCGACAAATACTTGGGAATTGGAACAGTCATCAGCCAAAACAAAATTGGAGTTAGCAAAATTATGAGCTGGCCAACAGATACAGTCGAATCCAGTAGATTTTTTGGATTTGACCTAAACAGTTGGATTTCAGCAGCGAAAAAACTGGAGTTAAGCATCAACAATGGCGCTTGCCCTCTATCAGACTAACCTCACAACAAAATCGTCTCACTGTGAGTAATAAAAAATTGGGCAACTCTCCACGGGGTTGTGGGTCATCATTCCATCTATCATTCGCTGGATGAAAACACAGGCAGATTTCAAACCACCAGCCAGGTCAGTCAGGGCTTCTCATGTGCAGTTTCGGTTGAAATAGTGGAACACCTGTGTTGACAACCATGGGAAAATCATCCAAACACTTTTCTTGGTCTGTGGTGCAATGGTGGGATGATAAAAGGCACCGGGCAATCCGGGCCAACGAAGCGATCAAACCGGCGCATCACCACTCAACGTGTGCCCACTGCATGGGCGTGTGTTAAAGAAGTGCCCCTTTTAGCGCAGGCATGCAGATTCCTGTAAATTGCATCTCTCTCTCTCTCTCTCTCGCATTGATTTTCGACTGCGCCCTCCACACGGACGTTGATGGTGTCAACAAACTGAAGCAGACCCGGATGTTTGCACTTTTGGGGAAATGATGATACAAGTAAACCATTGCATTTTGGTGGTTTCCTATGAATCCTCAGGCTTACTGCGGGCCCCACAGAAACTCACCGTAGCCGCTGAAGTGGGCAAAACCGAAGCCTCAGCGTCATACCAAACCTCCTCAAAAACAAGGCTCTACTGGGAAGTTCCTGCCACTTTGGTCAGTATCATGGATAGTAATTAACTGGTTTTAGTATCCCAATATTTCTGTGATATCGGGGAAAACCTGAAAAAGACCAGGTTTTAGCTATAATAATTTAGATCTGGGCAAATGATAATGATTCATCAACTTGAAATCTTGGGCCAGTTTGGGATCATTCCTCTTATTAACCATGATTCCAGGCTTCGGTCGCCAGGGTTTGGTCGTTTCTATTTTGCCTCTAGTGATGGGTCGACCCATCTGAGAGCCCTCACGGTCGCCCGGGCCAGTCTTGGACAACTGCACCTGACGAGATCTATCGTTCTGAGCCCGTTGGTTGGAAAAATTACGGAAAAGCCACCAAGCATAGTCTTGGGGTGTCTTGGGGCCTTGGGGTTGATCATTTTGATGTTTTGGATTGTTTTAGGGGTTTTGTGTTTGGTTGTTTCACCAAAAGAGAACTGGTTGGCTTTCAGGCTTTCAGCCCCAAAAATATAGTGCCCAATCAATCAACCAATTCTGAAGGCGAAACAACCCTTAGGCCTTAGAACAACAATCACAAGCAAAAATGCGCCGATGGTAATAGCGGTAGACCCTGCACATTTTCCTTTGACCAATTCTGGGAAACAATATGAAACAATCATCAACACTTACTAGTAGTGGCTTAACCGCTTAGTGGCTGGGCTGTTGACCATCATTAGACCGAACTGACAAACTGGAGTAACTAGGTGGACACACAAACTGACAAACTGGAGTGATTGGGCTAAGGCAAGGGTATCGCCCATTGAGGCACATATGAAAGGGTTAGAATATGTTAGAATTACAGCACTGCAACTGTTCAAAGTGTTGCTACGCAAGCCGAGATCATCCCACTCGAAACACCCTTCCCCCGCACCGCATTGAAACACCGGCCCAGTCTTTACTGTGACTTTACTGTGACTTTACAGTGACAAATACGTGCAATACCCACTTTTTGCTACACCAGGGCCCAGGGCGCACACAAAAAAACACATGGATTTCACCCCGTGCATATGTGCATGTGCTTATCTACTGCACGACAAAAAAAAGACGGAGTGAGTTGGTCAGAGTCCTGATATTTTACAGCATATTCCTTTCCTGAACACGGAATGATCACCAGGAAATTCAAACACCTGTGCTTGTCACCCTATCCCATCTCCAACCAGCATTTCTGGGTTCCATCTCTGAATCGGACTGTTGGTATAGCCTTGGTCGAATTTCCGGTTAGAGCGGCCTCCCACAGGATACAGCCATCCGGCGTCATGTTCTGCTTCACTGAAGAGGCCTCCGGTTGAACCATGGAGCGTCACACCCAAAAATCACCATAGATGGATGGTATCCAGGTTAAAATGTCTGCAACGGCCTGATCACAACCTCACATCTAACCTGAAAAAAAAGGCACCATTTTAAACAGCCAAAAAAAACTCGAACTTTACAAC